TCATAAGCTTGCGTTGTCGTCATATATGTAGGATGTGAAGAAAATTCGCTATCCCCACATATTGAACCAAAGAATCAATTTAACATTTACTCGCCCGAAAGAACTTTATGTAAACTTGATTTACATGAAAACCTAAGTTTGATAGAACCTCCTTTTATGAAAATTGAGAGCGCTTATGAAGAATTGACAATGATAAATTTTGGGTCTTTCTCCTAGCATATTAGTCACTTGATATACGTGTTTCTTATTGCATACTATTGCAATGGGTATAGAGCATATTATTTAAAAGTGGAGACTGGACCAAGATCCCTACTAAATTTTCTTTAGAGTTAATCTCAACCATCCATCATGGAAGAGACAAAATAGGAAGATAACTCTTCGGTGTTGTTTGTCTTCAATAACTCCTTGTTTTTAAAACCAATTCAAGTACATGTAACATTCGTATTCCCGCCATAACTCATGTAACATATCGTATTAAGGATAAGATAACTCTTTTGTATTTACAATTAGCTTACAGTCTCCCACTTGATTGTTAGGAATACCCATGATTATTTCTTATAGGACATCATAAGGCACATATAAATTGTTAAATTTGATATGTGTAGTTGATTATTATAAGTGTCATAATTTATATAGTTGGTCATGAAAGTCGCGACGGTCATAAGTTTGGGAAACTTAAATTCTTCTATGAACCACGACATTAATAAGTATCAAAATCATACATTATCAAGAGTTGTCGTAATGGTCTCATGGTGTCTTTAGAAAAGACGAACTTTGTTCTCACACATCCGGAACAGTATGTGTACACAGTGGAAAACATAACAAAAGATGTATAGTTCCATTTATGAGCTCCATAGCAAAGAAATATATTAAATATATTAAAAACATAGGGTGGAAAATTACAAGGAACTAGCGTCAAGACTCAAGACCCATATCATTAGTTTTTTTAAGATTTTGGAGGTAGTCATTTATAAATATATCTGCAACCATTTTGTTTGTGCCGAAATGCTCATTAGAAATATCACAGTCACGAATTTATGATCGTGGGCGTGAACTCTCTCGTGGGCAGAATCCTTTTTGGTCGCGAGTTAGGGCATGAAACTTTCTACTCATTTTTGTGTCAGAGGGTGCGTCATGCCCAGGAGAGCAAGACTGTAAAATTTTCCCTTATTGCTCATATGCAATGTGACGTGCTCAGATGAACCCCCAATTGATCCCAACCCATTGTAGATGAGTATAAGACCTGAAATATCATTAAAAAAAAGACCAAGCAAGCATAACATATGACAAAGTGGAGTGATTTTCCCTAGACGAACCTTCTTGCAACCTATCTCATAGCAAACTATTTATACGTTGAAAGATAACCAAAATTCCTAATAAGGTTACTTTAGAGTTAATCTCAACCATCCAAAATTGTCTTATAAAATATGAATTTTTTATTTTATAGGAGTTAAATTTACTCATTAGATGTTTAAGGACCGAAGTTACAATTATCCATTTTAATAATCTCTTTACAAAACACAAATTTCATGTAATTAGAATTAAATGGACACGCTAGAAGATTAAAATTTTAAATTATCAAAATACTAAAAAGGAGTGATAAACATTTTAGTCAAGTTAAATTAAATAACTGATTTTTCATATGTAGTGGGAATAAAATGGACACTTGGAGTTTAAGACCTAAGAAGATCAAAATATTAAGGGTTAATATTTTCGTATGGCCTGAATTTTGACCAAAATAAACATCCTGGTCAATCTTTTCGATCTATAACATCCTGGCCCGAACTATACACCAAAATAAACAGTTTTGCCAAACCCGATGTTTGACCGTTAATTAGGACGGTCAACACGCCATGTCACTGTCACGTCAGTGCCAAGTCAGAAGATTTGATAAATATTTAATTTTTTCGTTTTTTATTTTTGGTTTAACTAAGGTATTAGATGATTTTTTTAATTTATAATAATTTAAAATTAGGGAATGTGTGGAAATGGTGAACTATTTTAAATATTTAATGCTGACTTGGCAGTGACATGGCGCGTTGACTAACGGTCAACACATTTGACCATCCAAGTTAACGGTCAAAAGTCGGATCTGGCCAAATTGTTTATTTTGGTGTATAGTTCGGGTCAGGATGTTATAGATCGAAAAGATTGGTCATGATGTTTATTTTGGTCAAAGTTCAGACCATACGAAAATATTAACCCAAATATTAAAGTGAAAAGACTGACACGTATAATTAAGTTAAATAAAATAATGCGAAAAGCGCAATTTTAACATATGATCAACTATATAGATTAAGTTGTAAGAACTCAAACTTACAGTGCCTCCAATATGGTCTACTCTTCACACGACTGTCTCAAACTCAATTTTGAAGTTGGTGTTCATCTTTATCAATATTTTGGTACGAGCTTGATGGCGAACTCCGCAAATGACCATTTGCACCTCGCTGGTGGTTTTCAGCATCCTGGGATTGCCCACGTACCTAGGCGAACTACTACATGCTCTAGACTGTATGCTCGTGATTCGTACATCGACCTCCATTGAGTCACATTCAAAGAGAATTCTGAATTCGACATTTGGCGGCTTCTCAAAGGGACAGAGTCATATACAATTAGAAAACCAGTGCTCAGAGGCTGCTTAGAGTTTTGTTTGATTCCTAGAACTGTCATTAGAATGTCCATAGTGTTGTAAGAAAAAAAAACTTTTCTCAGTTCTTGTTTAGAGTTACTCTCATTTGATTTTGTTGGTTGGGTGAGAAAGAGATATTTAGAGTAATAGTTCTTAGGGTAATGTTTATTTTTTTCAAACTTTTTTCATATTTTTTTATATTATTCAAACCTATTAAAATATTAAGAATTAGTCAAATATTAACTTTCAGTTAGCAATTTTGTTAGTAATATTGACTTGGCAACATAATACTAACCAAGGTAGTAGTCGGGATTTGATCGAGGGTGGGTCCATTTAGAAAAAAAATACATACAATAAAGTAATTTGTCAACTTTTTAAATCATTCATTATATAATTTTGTATTTACAAAAACATAGTGAATTAAATATATCTCAAACTATAAAAAAATATCATGTAATCAACAATTATTCATAATTTAGTTAGATATTTGCTTGAATGATATTCTTTGTCAAGACCGTTTAGTATAAATAAATCGATTGAGTTGTTGAAAAAGATTTAATTATGAATCTTATACTATCTAATATTTACTAACACTTCCCGCTAACGCAAACCAACTTATACGTGCTTAAAGTTTTCTCATATTCAATTATCATGTGCTTAACAAATGGAGTCGTCAAGATTCAAGCACATGATATCTCAATTAGAAGTACCCTAAATGGTTGAATTTCATTATCAATTAACTATTATACTAATTTACTCTTTGTCGTCCTTAGCAGCCACCTATTACACTCTATCTACCCCTGATTGAAATAAAATCATATGCATCATTGTCAGTTGTACATAGTTCATTATAAAAACATTGATCATGCCAATACACATATTATAAATCAACATCATATATTTGAAATGTCAATCATTATCATTTAAATACGTATTATTTTTCGTACCCGATTAATAATTATACCTAATTTACCATTTTTCTCTCGAGCCAGGGTGGGTCCCGGGACCCACCCTCTAACTCTCTCCCTCCGCCTTGATACTAACTTATAAGAGACTCATGAAGGTTAACATTCCAAAATTTTAGTATTTTAACTAAGAAAAAGGTTACAAAATTATTAACGATAACGTAAAAATGGGACCCACCCTCTCACTCTCTCCCTCCGCCTTGATACTAACTTATAAGAGACTCATGAAGGTTAACATTCCAAAATTTTAGTATTTTAACTAAGAAAAAGGTTACAAAATTATTAACGATAACGTAAAAATGGCTAATATTTTGATGCATAATGAAAGATTTGGATAATTAATAAAAATTTAATAGGTTTCATAAAAGAATTTGAAAAACATTTGAATAAAAAATAGACATTGCCCTAATTTTTATTTATATTATTATATTATCATATGTGATAATATTAAAAAAAAGTTGTAGTCCATAAAGTTTATGGGAAGGTACATTTTTAAAACTAGAGAGAGCCGCCCACCCCACTGGCTGGCCAGTATTCATACATAAAGGGATCTCCAACTCACTCAGTTGTCTTGTAGTAGCAGACCAAGATTCTCCCCCCGCTAGCTTAGCTTGTGGACTTTTCACCGATTTCCCATTTGGGAATCATATATGCATGGCTAGGACTTGGGTACTAATTGCCCAATGTAATATATAATAAGGGCCGGGAAATGGTGCGGTCTGGTCTAGATGGTTTATGGTCCAGACCGAGAGACTAAAGTATAGACCACAGACCAGATCACATATTATACGGTTCGGTACAGACCACGCCTGTGCGGTCTGGTTCGGTCTGGTCTGGTCCAGATAGACCACACTCAACGAAAAATGAATAATTTGTTTAGTCAACCACACAAAAAGTGAACCAATAGCCAGGAAAAATAATTGTTATTTGCCTTAAATCATTAAACCTAACATGCATGAATAATTTTGATACTCCAAATTTTAGTACATACCAAAGATACAAAGTAAAAGCATCCCAACTTGCACCATAACGTCATAAACATTAACATAATGTCATATGGAAACACGATTATCTCTACTCTTTAGTTAAATGTGGTTGTGAATTAAAGAGGGACGAGATTCACAAAACTAAGGTTGAGACTTGGGTGTCGTTTTGGGAGTTGGAAGAGTGGTCGAATGGGCTGTTAACACGTATTTACAAGTCAGTTGGGTCCACGGTTTGGTCCGGTGAACCGCGGTCTAGACCAGACCAGCCCAAGTGATCAAAATATAAAATATACAGACCATGGACCAGACCAAACCATACTTAACAGTCTACGGTCCGGACCAAACTGTACTGTACGGTTTGGACCACGGTTTTTCTAACGGTCTGGTCTATTTTCCCAGCCTTATATAATAGGGTTAATAGGATATTGTACCTCTTTACTATTGCAAATTAATAAACGTAGTCTGTAGTATATTTTTGCACAAATATAGCCTTATAATATTACAACGTAACGAAAATACCCTTCCGTTAAAAATTCTGTGCAGTTGCCTTTAAGTGGAATGGAAAATGAGGAAATTACCCCTTACTTAAACTGAAATTATAATTTAATTACATTTTGTAATGGCGGAAATTAAATCTCGAACCTAATAACTATGTACGTCTCTCAAGCATCTTCGTCCGTCGACCTTCCCACCCCGGTGGTCATCTTCAACTCCGCCATCAACCAACTCCACCGGCGCCCATTACGACATGCTGCTACTCCCTCAGCGCCAAGCTGATCGCCGCTCACCTGAACATAATAATTAACCATTCCTCCCTGCAATTCTCGGACATCCAAAATTTACAACATAAAACCCAATTTAGCAGTAAAATTTACCAGAACACATCCTAGCCTAAAATTAGCGTACGTCCCCATTCTAATGTTGTCCAATTCATCCTAAAATGCTGAGTGTCACTGAATCGGATTTATTAGAGTAATCTAGATTCTGGGTTCAAAAATGTTCCAGAATGAACATAAGAGGGGTGGGAAATTGGGAAGGAAAAGCAAGAAAGAAGCAAAAAATTCCATTTTCCCAACTAGTACCTTTTTGTCGCCCTCCCTGTTACTACTTCACTCTCTTACCGATTCCAAAGCGATGTCGGCAAAGAATAGGACGAAGAAGATTGGCGATGAGGATGGATAGCGAGTTTGTGAGCAAGATTCAGGGGAGGGAAGGGTAGACTCTGCTGGCGGGCCGGGGGCCGTGAGAGAAGAGGATGGTATGGGACCCGACGGATTACTATTCACGAGTTGGAGTCGATTGAGGTCATACAACGCCAATTTAGCGTGGGGGAAGCCGAGGTGTATGGACTGCTTGAAGGTGCGATAAATCAAACGGCGGCGGCATCCTAGATTTCGAGTTGATTTCGTCGTCGGTGAGAGAGTTCCAATTAGGGTTTCAGAACAGAGAAGAGAGTTAGCTAATGCGACCCAGGTGAGAAGATAAAAAGTGCAATTTTTACTTTATTCTTTATTTTATAGAAAACCAGAAGTCAATTAAATTAGGGAATGATAAAGGGTAAATTGGCCATTTTCCCTCTCACTTAACAGTTAGTTGACAGAAAACTAAACATGAGGTTACATTTGGTATGTTTTTGTAATTCTATAAAAGTGCAAAATATTAGTACATGGGTACATTCGTAGTTAACATACAATAGTATAGGGGCAAAAATGCTATTATCCCTTATAATATGTAAAGAACCAAAGGAATGAAAACAAGAAAGAACACGAGACCGATTTTATGTGGTTTCCTCGATCAATGGATCGAGACTAGTCCACGGAGAGCTTTGAGCTCTCGAATTCTTTTATTATTTCAGCTATTTTCACTTAGGGTTTCGGCTGACCCTTACAGCTTATTTATACAAAAACCAACACCCCCTTACTCCATCTACCTAGACAACTAGGAGAAAGAAAAATTACGGAAGTGATCCCTATATTTTAATATGGTCTATAGGAATCACAACACTCCCCCTCAAGCGAAAGAGTGAATATCAAGAAGTCCAAACTTGACGAAGAGATGGTGAAACTGGTTCACACTTAATCCCTTTATGAAGAGATCAACCGGCTGGTCGGAAGTGGCAATCTTCGCAGAACAATGCAAGCGACTGAACCCGCTCACGGACGAAATTACAGCCCATCTCGACATGTTTTGTACGCTCATGAAACACCGAATTAGAAGCAATGTGAAGAGTCGCCTGATTATCGCAGAACAAAGGAGTTGGAACTGAATGGTGAACACCAAGATCACGAAGTAACCACCGGAGCAAAAGGACCTCACTGACAGTGCTGGCCATGGCTCGATATTCAGCTTTAGCAGAGGATCTTGCCACAACTCTCTGCTTCTTCGTACGCCAGGAAATGGGAGAAGCTCCTAACATAACGAAATAACCAGTAGGGATGGCAATGGGTTGGGTTGGGTCGGGTCGGGTTGGGGGCGGATAGTGCATATCCGTTACCCTACCTAAGGTAGTTCGGGTTTTACCCATATCCACATAAGAATCACGTCGAAAATCAAAACCATGCTCATACCCGCTCGGGTTTTGGGTATCCACGGTTATCCATGGGTAATAATTTCTCTTTATAACTCGAGCCAATATGTTAACATTCACACTTATACTCACATTACATTAGAGGAAAAGTACGACAATATATCATTAGAATAAAGAAAATTAATTAAAACAACACAATTTCATGAAAATAGTATATTTGTATACTAATTATAAATATGTTACAGAAAAATAATCATTATTTCCAGAAAAAATACATATAGATGTGGATAATCGGATGGATTCGGGTTGAATAGTGAGAAAATCATGCCCATCCATTACCCGCAATATTCGGGTTCGGGTTTACCCGTACCCACTAAAAATCTTTCGGATTCAGGTTTTACCCCAATTAGAATGGATTCAGGTGGATACCCACGGTTACGGATAGTATTGTCATCCCTAGTAACCAGTCGTGGATCGGCGAGTGAGAGGACACCCGCCCCAATCTGAATCACAGTATGCAGTCAAAGTGAGAGAAGTGGACGTGGGAAAGAATAGACCACGACATGGGGCGGACTTGAGGTACTGCAAGACTCGAATGACGGCGTCTTCATGTGTCTTAGTGGGCGACTGCATAGCCTGACTAAGTAGATTCACAACATAGGTAATGTGTGGACGGGTCACAGTAATATATAGCAAGCGACCAACTAGGCGCCGATAGGAGCCAGTATCAACAGCCGGTGGTGAAGAAACCCGACCAAGTTTATGCTGCTGTTCGATTGGCGTCGAGCAAGGCTTGGAGGCTTCTAAACTTGCATCGACAACAATGTCAATGACATACTTGCGTTGATTAAGAACCAGACCTCTAGGAGAATGAGCCACTTCAACCCCGAGAAAATACTTGAGCGGACATAGATCTTTAATTGTAAAGCGAGAGTGAAGGAACTCTTTAACCTGAGAGATGAAACGCAAATTTGTACCAACTAATATCACGTCGTCCACATAGATGAGGGCGACAACAAAAACATCACCTCGCTGATAAGTGAAGAGAGCATGATCAGCTCGACTCTGGACAAAATTAAACTTCAAAAGTGCATGGGTAAATTTATGGTACCAATTGTAGGAAGTGTGTCGTAAACCATAAATAGACTTACGTAGGCGACAAACAAGTTGCTCCCCCGGTTGAGCAAAACCCTGCGGTATCTTCAAATAAACTTCTTCATGAAGATCGCCATGGAGAAATGCATTGTTCACGTCTAACTGATGTATATGCCAGCCCCGAGCAACTGCCACAGCCAGGAGACAACGTATTGTGACGAGCTTAGCTACCGAAAGTGAAGGTGTAATGATAGTCCCCTCAACCTGAGTATAACCTTTGGCTACCAAGCGCACCTTATAGCGGTCAATAGACCCATCTGGAATTAAACTACACCTTGTACACCCACTTGCAATCAATGGCTTTCTTCCCAGGAGGAAGAAAAACTATGGTCCATGTACCATTCTCGACCAACGCATCAAATTCATGATGCATTGCCTCCCTCCATTATTGATACTGAATAGCCCAGAAATAATAGGAGGGATTGGAAACAGCGCTGACCGCGGCAACATAAGTATGATAAGCAACGGACAATCGATGATAGGTAATATAATCTTCAAGAGGATAATTAACGGTCGGTGAATGGGCTACTCCCGAAAGTTGAACATCATACCCCTTTAATCGAGTAGATGGAAATCGGTGACGATCACTGCGACGAACTGGTATAGAAGCTAATGGAGAGGACGAATCGGCAATAGGCATAATGTTATCCTCCATAGTATGCTCATGGGAGCTGTCAGAAGAGGACAAGGTGGTCGAGGAAGTCTGAAGCTCGGTGGTGCTATCAACTAGGTGCACATCATGCACCACCTACTGCTGGTCTTCATGGTGTACGACAGAGGGTATTCAAGGAGGAATAAGATCCTCGTCCCCGTCATGGTAGATAGGGGATGGCAAGCTGCCAAATTGTGGCAGGGGTGAGTATTTCCCTGCGTCCAAATCACGATATGGGAAGACTCTCTCAAGAAACTTCACATCTCTTGAGACATGAATGGTATGATTCTCAAGATCATAGATAAGATAACCACGTTGATTGGAGGGATAGCCAAGAAAAATCCCTACGCGGGCGTGATCATCAAATTTATGCAGATGATTATATGTGTCGCGAGCATAGGCTAAGCAGCCAAAAATACGCTGATACTGATACTTCAGAGCTTTGTCAAAGAGAATCTGGAAAGGAGATTTATTTCCAATGGCAACCAAAGGCATTCGGTTGATCAAATAAGCAGCAGTCAAAACACACTCGCCCCAAAACTTGAGAGGTAGGTTCACATAGAACCGCAAAATGCGAGTTGTATCGAGAAAATGCATGTGCTTGTGTTCGAATACACTGTTATGCTACGGGGTGTCAGTTCAAGAGGTCTGCAAAACAATCCTGTTCTTTTCATAGTAATTCGTAAGAACATTACTCAAAAATTCGGGACCATTATCAGCTTGAATTCTTCGCACCTATTTCCCAAACTGTGTTTGAACCATATTACAGAAGTATAATAAGTGGTGTGCTGCATCCGACTTGTATCACAGTAAGAAAACCCTGACAGCACAACTAAAGTCATCGACAACAGTCAAAAAACAATGAGCACCAGACATCGAAGCAGTCTTATAACTTCCCCAAATATCCAAGTGTGTAAGTTCCAAGCAAGATGTAGTCTTAATGATGCTGGAATCAAAAGGACCACATGTCTGTTTAGCCCACAAACAAGACCGACAAGGCTCTTTCTTATGAATAAAAAAACAACCAATGGTAGAATCCAACAAGTGCAACTTCGCCTGCGATGGATGCCCGAGACGTGAGTGCCACAAACCCATATCATCCAAAGATCTCCTAACCGAGTGTGCCATGGGGTGCTCTTGCTCGAAAAAGCTCAGATAATATAGACCGTCGATATGCTTACCCATCCCAATCAGCCTCTTGGAGGGTAAGTCCTGAATAATACATAAGTCATTCAAGAAGATTAATGCGACTGGTAGATCAGTTGTGAGTCTACTGACAGATAACAGGTTGCACTGAAAATCTGGAGACGTAAGTGAAAAAACTCCATATCATCCAAAGATCTCCGAACCGAGTGCGCCATGGGGTGCTCTTACTCGAACAACCTCATATAATATAGACCATCGATAGGCTTACCCATTCCAATCAGCCTCTTGGAGGGTAAGTCATGAATAATACATAAGTCATTCAAGAATATTAATGCGACCCTTCACCTTCCCCTACTATTTCCACTTATTCTCCCTACCTTCTAATTTTCGGCCAAGTCGTTGTCGCCTCTATTGCTCCCCTCTTCGATCATTGTCTTTAATAGGGACGACAACAGGGCCAGATTAGCAAGGGTACATAGCATGAGATCATGTTTGCTACCAACAAAGTAAGCAATTCCTTTAATGAATCGGTTACAATGCCAGCCAAGACAAAGGAAGAAGAACCCATGGTCAATGTGTGGGTCTAAACAACACAATGCAAGATGATGCCTAATGAATGTAGGCATTCAGATACTATGGATTGAATTTTTGGTTACAACCTACAGAAAGCTTAGGCCTAGAATCATAACTAAAAGTTACCTTGCATAGGCTCCTCATGTGGGTTCATCGAATAAGAATGTAACAAATAGAGATATGAGAAGGGTGCATCAAGGCTTTGGAACATATGTGGATATGAACACCGGCAACATGTATGCCAGGGTATGTGAACATTGTTATAATCATTCATGTTCAATACTGCACTTTTGATTGTCCTATTTTACAGCTAACATAATTACTTGTCCTATTTTGAAGCTAAGTGAGAAGGTTCTAGAGCTTGTTGGAGGAGTCCAATCGACTGCACCAGACAATCCTCCAATGAATGCTACACAACCTCCTACTACTCAACCAGAGTCTCCCTAGAGAATAAAAAGAAGACTTTGTAGATTATATGTAGGAATGACTCCACTTTTGGTATTTTGTACATGCTAGGACATGTTTCAGATTTGGTGCTCAAGTCTGATTTGGAGTAGATCATTAACCACTTTTGGATGCTATGGACATGTGTTCGGATTGAGGGTTTAGTCAAGCAGTTTCATGAATGATATGAATAGTTTTATCTAGTTGATGGAGATATATCACTCTATTTTATTAATGCTATGACATGGTTTATGGTTTATCCAGCTGTCAGTTCATATAATCATGTGTAAGCAGTTTGTGAATCTATCCTCACTTCATTTCACGCTAATTTCAACTTTATTACTCATCAAACATCCGTCGAAGGTCTCACATATCCATTACATACGAAACATAGCTAGTACAAATAGAAGCATGACTGCAAAGAGTACACACAAACAGTATATGGTCATCCACCATTATAGTGCCCAAATAGCATACTTCATCTTCCGCAATTCCAGACAAGTAGTTGCACTGAGTTCTGAAACCTTGGTATAGTCTTCTAATATTAATGAATTCTCCTGTTTCCTTGTCATCGCCTTCTCTTCTTCTCTACGAGCACGCCCTTCTAGTGCCTCCATATCATCTAGTTTCAATTTTAGCTTATGGTTTTCTTCCATTAATCCATTTGTTGATGTGACTTGGATCGGACTATCTGGCACTACGACTAGATGGTACGGAAGTCCATAGTGTTGAGCTCAATGTTATTTGGGTTCATGTTCTGGCGTGGTCTGTAAATGCTTTTCCTTTACCAGATTGGATTAGGGTTAGACCATGGAGAAGTACTATAAATACTTATCATACTCCTATGTAATTTGTATTTCATCGAAGTATAGCGAAACTGGCTTTCTCCTGCCCAAGGACTAGATAATACACATTGTGTTAGTGAACCACGTAAATCGTGTGTCGTGTGCGTTCTTGTGTTTCATTTTCTTGTTGTGTCGAATCCTCCTATTTTCCGATCCACATAGAAACAATCGTGACACCATCCACCACAGAGTCACTTTCATGTTTATCATCAACCCATAGGAAAAATTTGTTATTATCTCTATAATATTACATGAGATGATTTAGTCAATATCACCCACCAATGCTAATTTGCATGATATACAGAGATTGGATCATATCGGCCAGAATGGACAAGAGTAGAACATTCTTCTATGATTTGTCCTTGTGCTATATGTATTCACCACGCACGGAGCTTTTTTCCCTTCACATCGAATTGTAGTTCTGTTTGTCGAACTAGATTAGGCTGAGTCTTGGTTGTCGATTTTCCCGCTTTTCATCGACATGATTGATTCTTCTTGGTCGTTGACCCTGTCTGTGGGTACATTTGGAGCTAGGAAGAGGCTCGCAACAATCGGCCGCCACTATAAAGGAGAAGTCGAAGAGGAAAAGGGAAGACGGTGGTGTGAGGAAAGGAGAAAAGGGGAAAGGGGGAGGACGGCGGTGGAGGTCAAAAAGAGAGGTTGTGTGTCAATTAAAATTGAAGGGAGATAATGATAGAGAGAGATATAATTTGTAATTTTTTTGTTTATTTTTTAGTTATTTTTAATCCAAAATGGGAGCTTATGTGGAATTTTATTATTTTTAAGTGGGTTTCTGCTAATATGGCGGTGACATGGCGGGTTGACTATTTGTAAACAATGTTCACTGTCCAAATTAACGGTCAACACTCGTGTTATACCAAATTAGTCTATTACAATAATATTTCAGGCCATAATATTTTGTATAATAATGGCTATAGTTGTAATATATCTCGGATACTACTTAAGTTTGAGAATCGGGGTAGATATATCACTTAAGTTTGAATATGGCGTCGGATACCACTAAACTCTATTATATGTGCACCTGGTTCCACGTATGTTTACTGCTAAGTGCATTGCGTTAAAATTGACAGAATATACTTGGAATATTCTGTTTTCTAAATTTCATAATTGGTCCTTCTACTTTTTCTTATTGTAAAAACACATTTGGACTTATGAAAACATAATTTTTTATTGCTTAATTGGAATCCTCATTTGAATACTTGATAGCAAATCAATTTTTTAATAGAAAATTTAGAATCAATTATCATTATAAGTATTTTCAATATCATTATGTGTTCTTATAATTGAATAATTTCCTGAAGCAAATATATCTTATGAATTCTTTCTCGATATAAAGAATTTTGAGAATGTTATATTTAGTTCTCTTACATCTTGGTGATGTCTAATTTTCCATGTTAAATCTCTTTTTAATTATCTAATATTATATTGTAGATGTTTCATATTAGTTAAATTTAGTAATTCTAATTCTCTTCCTATAGTCATTTTTTCTATTTTACATTTTTTAATAAATGTTGTAGCTTTTATAGTTCATTTATTACTTGGTTACTTTCCGTTTCTTTTCGTTCTAAATGTTTTTTCAATTACTGGAATATGTTTAATTCTTTATGATTGTGTTTCATTTATCTTTCTTTGGTTTTGATGTATTGATGATTGTTTAGGTTCTACTTTAACTATTTCTAATGGTGCTTCTAATTGAATTAGGGTGTTTAAATAGATATTCTAATATTAATTTTAAATATTTTTATTATATTCTAGTGTATTTTTATTTTTTATAATATTCGTTTAATATTTTTACTAATTTACTATTTTTTTGAAATTTTTTGATTTGCCATTTTAATAATAATATGTTTAGGTTTTCTAATTTTTATATTAGATAAAACTTGTTAAAATATAGTTTTGAATGTTTTGAATATAGTTTAGTTGGATGGAAAAGTAGATGGATGCACATTTTGTCGATTTTAATAGTACTCGACGCCCTATTCAAATTTAAATAATATGTTTACCCAATTTTTAAACTCAATATATACTCAATATATTTTACCCTTAATTTTGAGCTGCAATTATATTCTCCTGATCAATCATCTGTCATCTCCAAAAGTGTTCTCCACTTTTTCACTTGTCCCTCCCATTACACATTTACATACACCAACTCCACTCCCTCACACTCTTCCTGGCAAAATCTCCCTTTGTCCTATCTCTGCCCTTTCCTTTTTCCCCCTTCCTTTACCTTCCATTTCTCCCATTGAGATTTGAGACCCTCTCCCTCAATAGTTAGACCCCTTTACTTCATTCCCTCAACCAAACCCAAAAAAGCCCACTAAAAAAAGGAAACAGTGAGAGAGAAACAACTCCTCTGCTTTTCCCCTGCTCTGCTCAATCCTTTCCACAACAACTCCAACCATTGCAGAGCAGCTCACCATCTCTGATCCCAAACTATGAATACCCATTCCCCCCAAGTCCCAGCATCCTTCCCCAGCTAAAGCAAGCTACCATGACGAGCTCGATTGCCATTAATCTCCCTTTCCTCACTTTCTCTCTCCTCATTGCTCTGTTGTCCTCTGTTTCTTCCGCTCTAAACAGAGACGGTGTTCTCTTGCTCTCATTCAAATACTCCATCATCGGCGATCCTCTATCCGTCCTCCAGACATGGAACTACGACGACGCAACTCCCTGTTCCTGGACCGGAGTCACCTGCACCGACCTCCGAGTCACCGATTTGGTCCTTCCCAAGAGCCAGCTTCTGGGCTCGATTTCTCCCGACTTGGGCCTAATCGAGCGCCTCCGCCACGTTGATCTCTCCAACAACTTCTTGAACGGCTCGCTGCCTGGTTCCTTCTTCGGCTCGAACGAGCTGCAAGTGATTTCCCTCTCCGGGAACGAGATCTCCGGCGGACTGCCGGAATCAATCGGCGGGATGAAGGGTTTGCAGGTGCTGAATCTCTCTGACAATGCGTTGGCGGGTAATGTGCCGAGGAATTTGAGTGGTCTTCAGAATCTGACCGTTCTCTCACTGAAAGCTAATTACTTCAGTGGATTTGTCCCGAGTGGGTTTGGTTCCGTCGAACTGCTCGACTTCTCTTCCAATTTGTTGAACGGGTCTCTGCCGTTGGAATTCGGAGGGGAGAAGTTGCGGTACTTGAACCTCTCTTACAACAAGCTCACTGGATCAATCCCACCGGAGTTCGGAAAGATGATTCCGGAGAATGCTACCCTCGACCTCTCCTTCAACAATCTCACCGGAGAGATACCGGAGGCTGTTTCGCTGTCGAATCAGAAAACAGAGCATTTTAAAGGGAATGTGGATCTCTGCGGAAAGCCGCTCAAGAACCTCTGCTCGATTCCTTCAACTCTCTCGTCTCCGCCCAACGTTTCGACGACATCTCCAGCTATCGCCGTGATCCCCAAGCCGTTAGAGTCCTCGCCGGATTCAAACTCATCCGGCGACCCGAACCCGACCAAAACCCAAGCCCAAACTCAGAACAATGGGCTAAAACCAGGCACAATCGTCGCCATAGCCACCGCTGATTTAGCCGGAATAGGCGCCCTAGCACTCATCATCCTCTATGTCTACAAAATCAAAAAGAAGAAGGCTGCCACAGCCGCCGCCGCTGCCGCTTCGGCTGAATCCGGCGAAGGAAAGCCCCCTAGCAAACAGAGCAAAATTATACAAATCCCATCGGAATCCATCATCATCAGCACATCACTCGACGAAGAACCCAAAAGACGGTGGGCGTCGTGCCTGAAGGGCAACATCGGAGGAGGGGAAACATCGGAATCGGCGAATTCGTCTTCCGACAGCGATCGGGAAGACCGGAGCAGTCCACAGAGACTAGGAGGAGCCGCCGGGAGCAATAGCGGCGTCGGCGGGGGAAAGCTGGTGATGGTGGACGGGGAGACGGAGATGGAGATGGAGACGCTGCTGAAGGCGTCTGCGTACGTTCTGGGCTCGAGCGGCGGAGGGAGCATCGTGTACAAGGCGGTTCTCGCAGACGGTACGGCGTTCGCCGTGAGAAGGATCGGGGAGATTAGCGGCGGAGCGGCGGGGAAGGGGATGAAGGAATTCGAAGGGCAAGTGAGGGCGATCGCCAAGCTTCGGCATCCGAATTTGGTGAAAGTGAGAGGGTTCTGCTGGGGAGATGATGAGAAGCTCTTCATCTGTGATTACGTCTCCAATGGCAGCCTCGCCACTTGTGGTTACAGTAAGTTCCCCTTTCTCTTCTTCTTCCTTGCTCTGTTTCCTGCCTTGTGTGGCGGCGCGTGTTAGTTAGACTCTGGGGATTTTGCTAAATTCCGCGGATTATTACGTGCAGGTTAGCATAAGAAAATATTAGGACTTTGGATACCATTCTTTGGTAAATATTGACTTTAGTCACTGAACTTATCTATATGAATTATATTGGACACTTAGCTTAGTACTGATCTAACTAATAAAGCATCACACTAGTTGTAATAAGTCATTTGTTACCATTTTATCACTATATTGCTGGTTTAGTAATTCAAATAGACGAAGGAAACAAAAATGTTGACAGTGAATTATCTGCACAAGTTTGGTGTTTCAATTGTGTGAATCCATATTTTGATTAACTTCTCGTTTTTTATATAAGAGTGAACGGGTGGAGAATCAAATTCTAAACTATCTTGATGGAGGCGTGGCTACTTAACAAGTAGAGATTAGATCATACCGGCTATTCCAAATTCATTCTCGAAACTATGTTTCATTATATTGACTTTAGAGAAAATTGTATTTCGAAATGATAGCTATAAATCTAGGATAGGTTATGAATAATATAAAAACTTTTTTTTCTTCATATATATATTTTTTTTCTTAATGAGTTTAAGGTTCTAAATATTTTTAAGGGTTTGGAGGTGTGAGTGTGTACAGTGAGTCAATCACATGTCTACCAACATGAAAAAAAATGAAAACATTCACGAGCCAACTTGCATTGTAGCTTGTAGAATAATAATTGTTTATGACAAATGTAATTGGAATTATAGGGGAACGGCTACGGTGCTAATTGTACAATAGTTAGCACCGTCCTAACCAAGGGAAAAACTACTACTAGTTTGAATTAGTAGTGATTTAGCTTAGATGTTGTATTGATTTTATAATAATCCGTAGTGATTTCGTTATTTTTAGTAGCGTTTTTTGCTAGTTATCACGGTGCTAACCCTAATCCCATTCCGGAATTATATGTCTCGTAAGTCGTAAGCATAGTTAGAGCTCACCGTGAACTGTATAACTGGAATAAAGGTTGGTAGCCTGGATCGGCTGCAGGAATAATTCATTTGCAAACTTAATTAAATAAGAATAATTAACAGCAGAGATCAAGGATTTAATTATAATCTCATTTACACATATTTAATTAATCCCTACCTTAATTCTTAAGTAAAGTCTAATCAAATGGGTACTACAGTACTGTGCACATTGGAATCCTGAAACCAAAGAGGCTTTGGAGGTTTGTCATAAAAAGGGCCTTAATAAACTATGATGACCAGACCAATCATATCATTATTTGTGTAAAGCAAAATACGACTGGAGATTCCTTTGTCCATGGAGAAGGGGTAATTATAAAAAGTTGCATTGCATGCACCAAAAGTGAAATAAACGCATAATGCGCCAAATTATCATGTCGTTTTGCGTAGAAAAGCAGCTACTTAGTCTGTGCCTTCACATGTGTTAAGCCTTAGCTCACTGGTTGTTTTGCAGGGAGGGTAGGAGCATCGCCATGTCACCTACCACTAGAAGTCCGGTTGAAGATAGCAAGAGGGTTAGCCCGAGGGCTAGCCTTCCTCCACGAGAAGAAACAAGTCCATGCCAACATCAAGCCTAGCAACATCTTGTTAAGCCAAGACATGGAGCCCATCATCTCCGACTTGGGCCTGGACCGGCTCATATACGGCACCAGCAAGGCCGGCAACGGCTCCTCGAGCCGACACTTCGGTAGCAGCCAGAGGTCGATGGTTGGTACAACGACGTCACTGGACAACCACATGATGGCGGGTACCGGTAGTAATGTTAATGTCGCCAACAATAATGGTATGATGATAGCTGCCAGTCCCTACGCCACACCCAACTCTTCAGTCGTTGCGGGTCCCTCCCCTTACCAGGCGCCCGAGTCTCTGAAGAACTTAAAACCAAACTCCAAATGGGATGTCTACTCGTTCGGGGTCGTGTTGCTGGAGCTCCTGACGGGGAGGGTGTTCACCGAGCGGGAGCTGAGCCAGTGGGCGCCCACCACGTGTTCTGAGGATCGGAGCTGGATGTCCAGACTGGCTGACGTGTCGGTCCGGGGCGAGGTGGAGGCCAGGGAAGAGGCGGCCATGGTGGCATGTTTCAAGTTAGGGTTTAGTTGTGCTTGCCTTGTGCCACAAAAGAGACCGTCCATGAAGGAAGCGGTGCAAGTGTTGGACAAGATCCCTTCCCATGCCCACTACGTCCCTCACTTTGTTGTTCAAAGCTAATTGATGATGATTTCTGATTTTGGTTCGTGGGACCCATTTGAATGGAAATGAAAAAAAAAAAAAAAGTGTCACAGTGCAATGTTGTTTATCTTAAAGGGTTGTTTGGCTGTACCCTTTCTCTTTTTCTAATGCTTTGTTGACCTTTTGGAGATGTTGGGACAAAGGTAGAAGGGAGGTATATTTGGGGTATCTAATGTGTTGAAACTTGAAAGTGACCATGTTCTTGTTAATTTGACCATATGATTAATCAAATCTTCTTTGTTACAAAAGATGCTCGTGCTAACATTTTGCTTTTATGAATCTTTTTACTTCTTTTAGATGAGTTGGAGCCATTACTAGTTGCTTTATTTGTTTTGGGAAGTTTTTGGTTCATACCACTCTTAAAACATGTGTTTGATTAAGTTATCATACAACTTCTCAATATGTAGCATAATTAAGCATGAGTTGGATCACAAACTTTTACATTTTGATCTTTCCTTTACGTAGAAGTATTTTATCAAATTCATTTTATTTTGGGTTTTTTTAACTCATCGTTAACTACATATATTATTTTTGTTTCTGTTGTTACTAACTACAGTCAATCATAAGGAAGAGAGATCCGAGAGATGGTGGAACTTGGTTTGTGTTTTTGTTAAGGTGCTAGCTCAATACAGTTCAAAATACCATTAAAAAAAAAATACTGTCCAAAATACAATTCAAATTAACGTATGATCACCACTAGCTACTTATAAACTCATTGTCCGTAGAATATGTTGCAAGCAAATATACGTATAAAGTATGATGGACCAACACAAATAATAGGAAATCAGTAGTTTGAACTTGACTCGCTGTTAGAGTCCAAGTGTTTGGCGAGATGGGGTTTGGGCCTTATCGAGTCGTCTTCAACCTTCAAGAAATTGTACATGAAGGGCATCACACACACAATAGAGAAGACTACGAAGAGAGACATACGTACACATGATGTTTTGTTAACCGAGTTCGGCCCTATTGGCTTTACGTCTCAACTCAAATGTGGCTTACCCTTTGAGACTTAGTGTCTAACTTTTTGTCTTATTCCAATCTAATTCAAAGTTGAGCTCCTTTGGGTGGAACTAAGACCATTGACAAGTATAGAGCAATATACATATTTCTCTCTTCCTCACAATCACTCACGCTAAAGACAAGAATAGATAATGAATTTCTATCACCTCTGAATTCTATTGCTAATCACAGAGCTATGTTTGATCTTGCTTTGTATAGAATTGCTCTGACACATTTCGTAAGACTTGTTTTGTTGCTTTTTTTTTGTATTTATAGTTGCTTAATGCACCGATTCTCTTGATCTTTCACTTGATTGCGGAGATTTCTTAATGCAACGGTCTTCATTGAATCTTTCACTTGATTGCGAAGATTTCTTAATACAACGTTCTTCTCTTGATCTTCTCTTGATTGTGATTATTCTTTCCTGCAATCATATATCCTTAGACATATGGCAGGTAATAATATAATTATACCTTATCAGAAAAGAGTAAAGTTTTTTTTTTCCGACCCACATATTCCTCACATTGAGATATATCAAACGTTTGACTCATGAAATTGCACTGATCAATTTTAAGCTGGAGGACCTTTTCAATGGTACATTTAGGTGTATGTAAACCTCTTAAATCCTGTAACTTTATTTGGAATAAACTCTTCCTTAACACTCTGTTCGGGAAGGAAAGAAATGGGAGGGAGGGAAAAAGAATGGAGGAAAGCACAGCTCCCTAGGAGCTTTCCTCCGTTTTTTAAGAACTGAAACAGTAGGGAAGGGAAGAAAGCGGACAAAAAATACACTGTGGAAGGCAACTCTAAATCGGAGAGAAAGAGGGGCTGCCCTTTTTTCATTTTTTATTCTTTTGTTTTATCTATTTCTACAACTTTCTCACTTTTGTTCTTTCTTTCTCTCTCCCACTTTCTTTCTCTCTCTGTCATGTTAAACTTGGTGATATAATCCTAAGGTAATTAACATGATAATGAAAATCAAATTTAAATTCTGCCAGCAATTTATAAGTTAATTAAAGTCTCATAGTAATAATCAAATAAAAATAAGGAGACTAAATACAATACTGTTTAATCAATAACGTAACACAAAATTGTTTTACATCACGCATAACGTTATTTTACATCACACATTCATAAGCAAAAAACTACAAATTTAATTCACAATTAATAAGCAATGAAAATAATATCAACATATACTCAAATTATTTCACTATTATATACCTAATAAAATAACATATCAATCACAATTTCCAATACACTTTTTTCTTCCCACTTTCCTCCATAAAACAACATTTTCCTCTCAATTTCCTTCACCTCCAAACCCTCTCCTCCAAATTTTCCTTCACCTCCCTTCCTTTTTCTCCCTTCCTTCGGAAACATAATGTAAATGGAGTGAAAGACAATTTATCCTCATGTTCTTTGTCAATTACCAATGGAATTGCAAAAAGGTTGAACTTATTGTTTTTCGTATTGTAGCACAAACAAAAGGAATACTAATCAAACAGCTTTCAGTGTCAGCAGAACTAGAAAATGATGTTGATGAGCTAGCTAGCTAGCTAGCTCTCTTACACTGTTTAGGCATAGCTGAGATGTTGGTTCTCCGAACACAATCATTAAATGGGCGAAGATGGTATTGGATTGCAGGCAGGGTAGGGGTGTAAGTTTGACCCTTAAAACCCACCGACCCGCCCCGACACGCCCCGACCCTCAGGGTCGGGCTGGGTCAGTTTGTCTATAGGGTCAATTTAGGGTCGGGTCGGCTTAGGGTCGGGTCAGGGTCAGATAGGGTCGGGTCAATTTAGAGTCGGGTCACTTTTTGATCCTATGACCCTTAGCATCATACAAACATGTTGGACCTATTTGTAAAATTTTATAAGTTTAGGTACTAAATTGTAAAAATTAAAAATTTTGGGTACCAAAACGTAATTTTACCATCAAATTTTAGGGACTTATTTGTAAAAAAAATAAAATTTAGGTACTAAAATGTAAGAAAAAATAAATTCGGGTACCAAATTGTAATTTTTAGAAAAGTAGTCTATTTATTAGGGTCGACCCACTGACCCGACCCTTCCTGACCCGCCCCGACCCTAAAGGGTCAGACAGGGTCATGAAAGAAACAGGGCCGGGGAGGGTCAGTTATACATCTTGACCCTTCAGGGGTGGGTCAGACAGGGTCAGGACAGGGTCAGGGGCGGGTCGGGCCAATTTTCAGCCCTAAGGCAGGGCATCGAATAATTTTCTGGTTAGTTGCATTATATTGCAGGATGGGCTGATTGATTCTTTGTGGAGTCGTTGAAGTGATCGATGATCAATTCCCAACAAACAAAAGTTGGTACGAAGAATGAATGACATATCAAACTAGTACTGGAAACAAATGAATGGAATGATTAATATTGCAAGTGAATAAGACCATATGATGAATTGAAAGCTATCCCACTGATGAAATTGACAGCAGCAGCAGCAGCAGCAGCAAATGGTCGAAGTCTTCGCCCTAGTGATGTCAAATTGACCCCAAAATTGGGCCATGCATGGCCTGGCTGCCAGTTTTGTCACCCTCCTACTTTCAATGTGTGAACCTAAAAAAACAATAGAAAAAGGTACTTTGGGTAAAGCAATTGAATGAATGATGAAAGCTCTCACGGGCCGCACATTCCCACTTGTGTTTTCTGTACTCCTTTGAGTTGTAGTAATTCACTAATTTGGGAAAACAAAAAAAAGAAAAAAAAATTATGAACTGAAATTGATCACAAAGAAGAATGTAGCGTAATGTCTACTTTTTTATTTTATTTTATATTATCCAAACCTATTCAAATGTTTTTAATTAGTTAGATCTTTCGTAATGCATCAAAATATTAGTCACTTTTACTTTATTGTTAATAATTATGTAACTCTTCTCCTAGTTAAAATACTAAAATTTTGGAATGTTGACCTTCATGTGTTTCTTCCAAGTCGGTATCATGTTGCCAAATCAATATTACTAACAAAATTGCTATATGAAAGTTAACATTTGGCTAATTCTTAGTATTTCGATAGGTTTGACTAAAAAAAAGAATTCAAAAAAGGTTTGAATAAAAAATAGATATTACAATAGATCACCAATGCTATCATGGACCACCAATGGAGCAATGTTCGTTGGAGGGATTGCCCACAAAATTTCCCCTATCTTGTAACCATATTTCCAATTGTCTTAGCACGTCTGCATCTTGATTTGCCTCTCAAAATATGGTACGGTTTTGCAGACACGTCCTCCATCACATGGACCTTCTAAGGCCTGGAATCTTTCGAGAAGAAGAAAAACTCGGGCTTGACCCACATGATGTATAAGGCCCAGATACGGAAAAAGAACCCATTGGACCTATCCGGTCCATATGCAATTAGACCAACAACCCACATTATCCACTCCACTCCCAGTCAATAGTCAACTAGTGCGGAGCATTTCTCACTTTCCCACAATTCGTCATCCTCTCGAATCAAGAATTCACCGGAAACGAAGAAGATCGAGGATGTCGGAACAGCACACAGCATCGCAGATCTTCATCTTATCAGGGCAGAGCAACATGGCCGGCCGTGGTGGCGTAATCACCGACCCCCACAACCACCACAAGAAGCTCTGGGACGGGATCCTGCCTCCGGAATGCGAATCTCGCCCCGAAATCCTCCGCCTCTCCGCCGATCTGCGGTGGGAGAAAGCGGCGGTGCCTCTCCACGCCGACATCGACACCAGGAAAGCGTGCGGGGTGGGGCCTGGGATGTCATTCGCGAACTCCGTGAAGGATCGGCTGTGCGGCGGCGGGGAGGCTATCGGATTGGTGCCGTGCGGCGTGGGAGGGACGGCGATCAGAGAGTGGGCGCGTGGGGAACAGCTGTATGAAAACATGGTGAGACGAGCCAAGGAGAGCGTGAGATCCGGTGCGGAGATCAAGTGCTTGCTGTGGTACCAAGGAGAGAGCGACACGTCGACGCACCACGAGGCCGACGCGTACCAGAAAAACATGGAGAAGCTGATTCAGAACGTTCGAGAGGATTTGGGTCTACCGGATCTCCCAGTAATTCAGGTAATTAATTAGCTTGCTAATCCTAATTTTGAACGAATTCGAAGCCTGTCCTCCTCTAAATAAAATGTGTTGGATGTTTGTAAAATCCTACTGTTGTATCGGTGGTTCGGACTACTAATAAAATCGTTAATATATCGTGATCAAGTTGAATCATTGGCCTTACTGTTTCGTGTTCAAGTTGATGCGGTTTGGTTTTATCCCAATTCACATTTTGGAACCCTTGTGTCCTGTGTTAGATTTCATAGAATAGATGGAATCATGTGTGTAGGTGGCGCTGGCATCAGGGGACCATAACTACTTGGAGAAGGTGAGGGAAGCACAGCTCTGTATGAAGATGACGAACTTGGTGTGCGTGGATGCCAAGGGATTGAAGCTCAAGGAAGACAATCTCCATCTCTGTACTGAAGCTCAGGTTAAGCTAGGTCAAATGTTGGCTGATGCTTACATCAGTAACTTTGCATCTCCTAATTCGTTAGCATCATCATCTTCTTCTTCTTCTTCTTGATCTCATCTGGTATGGTATTGTACACTATTCGCACTGCTGCTATTGCTGAGACTTCGGTGAGAATAACTCTGCAGTTCGCCTACAAATTCTGAATGCTCGAGTTGCCATCCTTACTACAAATAGAGCATTTAGGTCATCATCGACTAATCGCCTCCATCAAGAACATCAACAATGGCGGCTGCGGAACCATCGTCCATGGAATCGTTCCAATCTCCATCCTTGGCGAAGAAAGTAACCATGTTCATTGTGTCTCTAGTAACATTGTGGATCTCATCAAACGCCACCTTACTGCTTCTGAACAAGTTTCTGCCCTCCTTTTCCAATAATAATGACGAATTATCCTCCGGTTTGTCGATGTTCCCAACGATGCGGATCACGGCGCCGGCCTGCCAAATCACCGCCTACTTCTCCGTTGGGGCGTCCACTCTACACACCGTGAAGTCAACAATGGTCAGCTTCCTCGTGATCGTGGTGCTCCTCGGCGCAGACCCCGGGGTGAATGGTCGGTACCCGGCCGTCGACTGCATCTGTTTGCTGTTCTCAAGTTTGGCCTTTCTCTTTTGCGTGGTGGATCTTCTTCATCATGTTGCGCCGCATCAACGCCGCTTTACTCGTTGGGCTAGTAAAAAAAGTGGGATCAGATCATTCAGTTTAAGAGGTGTAATTGCAAATTGATTAAATTCTTACTGTGATTATTCGCTGAATTTTTATCTTTAATTTTATAGAACCGGATTATGTTTATTGAGATTATATTAGGTGAGATATAGAGCTAGTTTGGTCTTGCTGTAGTGTTTTTTGTGTGTGTAAAACGGAGCTCAAAAGGGCGCTCCAACCTTTATTCAATAATCAAACGGGTGGTCTGAACCCACAATAATGTCATGGTACAACCAATAAGACAAGTTACTATCGGGAAGAGCAACCACATGTCTACCGATGGGAAAATAGTGGCCTATACCGGCCAAGTAATCAACAACTATGTTCGCCTCTCTCTATAAACATGGGCGATATGAACCTCACAATCACGTTGTAACCACTATCGAATCTCCGCAATGCTGGTGTAGTGGAGATGTTGTGGTGTCGCCGACTCAATGAGGTGCACTGCCGTCGTCGAGTCGGTCTGCAGAAGAACCTTCTTAGTTTCTGTTTCCCAGGCGATTCGAAGCCCATGCACAATCCCAGCTAGTTCTGCATTTGTGACAGAGCCCCCCCCCCCCCCCCCACACCCCCCCAAGGTTCACTGTAAAAGCTGAGATAAAGTGGCCATCGTCCCCCGTCAAGACGCCGCCGACCGCAATACTATCCAAGGAAGGTATCACCGATCCATCAGTATTCAGGCACGTCCAATCTGTTGGTGGTGGATTCCATCTAATTGGTCTCAGTATTCGGAGTACCCTAGCTCCGAAAACAGCAGTATCCTTCTCAAGGGCTTGAAAGATTTTATGTCTCAGCTGAGCAGCTTTCCCCTGGATTTGTGCATGTGACTTCAGTTGTCCCTCGAAACAATAGCTATTCCGGTTCTTCCACAGTAACCAACACATGGTGACGAAAAAAGTGCAGTCTAGGTCTCGGCTCCGTCCTGTAGTGTACTGGGTCATCCACTGTTCCAAGCTAGGATTGAAGAAGGTTGCATCAGGTTTGTTGTGGAGTACATCAGCCCAAGTGGCCTTGGCGAACGGGCAATCCCTGAGCACGTGAAGTGTCGTCTCTGGCCCCCCTCCACATATCTTACAGCTGTCGTTCGTGGTGAGGTGTCGCCTGGCTCTTTCCGCGTTGGTAAGTAGTCTTTCGTGCGCCATTAGCCTGAGAAAGGTTCTCGTTCTTTGAAGAGCTGGGGCTCTCCAAATTGACCTCCAGTTGGGATGTCTTTGTGGGAGGCTGGCATCCTCCTCCCCCAAGAGTTCATACGGTGATTTGAAGTTAAAGCGCCAATCAGCGGCAAAACACCAGAATCGAACATCCGCATCGTTCCCGCCGAGTACCGGTGGAGTAAGACCTGCGAAGCAATATCACCTAGTAAGAAAATTTTAATATAATCATGGTTTCACTCACCGTTTAGGAAGAAATCCTCCACACGCATGCCCATAACTTCCGCATGGACATCCGAGGCATATTTGTAGAGGGGATCACCATCCGTTAGCCACCTATCTCGCCAAAATCGAGCATCCTTCCCATTCCTTATATTCCAGACCGAAGTTTCCTGGGTCTTGCGCCATACTCTTAGCACACCCCCCCCCCCCCCCCCGCCATGGGTATGAGATCCGGCCAGTACTCCTATGAACCAATCTCGCCTCGGACTCCGCCGTGTACTTGCTCGACACCACTTTAGCCCAAAGATCATTCGGCTTCGTAAGCAATCTCCATGCAGTCTTCACAATGTAAGCTTCGTTGGTGCGTGTAGCCGACTGGAGTCCCAGATCACCTTCTTCCTTTGGCTTACAGACCGTCTCCCAATCCACCAGGTGAACCTTGCGTCCTCCCTCCGAATTCCCCCATACAAATGCTCTGATCTTCTTGTTGATCAGATCACGACCACTTGCTGGTAGAAATGATGTTTTCATAGTGTACGAGGGGAGTGAAGAGAGGATCGACTGACCCAGAGTAATCCTAGCTGCAAGGCTCATAGTGGACATCTTCCACCCCACCAGGCGAGAGTCAATCCTGTCAACCAGCTCGTTGTATGTCGCCTTGGTCATCGGGTCGTGAATTACTGGAACTCCCAAGTAGCGCCCCATGTTCGAAGTTTGAGGGATTCCCTGTTTAGCACTCAATGCTACTCTTTGCTCTGGTCGAACATTAGGGGAGAAGAAGACCATCGATTTGGACTTGCTGATGCTTTGCCCCGAAGCCTCTCCAAAAAGCTCTAAGCACTGCATGATAGCTCTCACCTGCCTGCTAGATGCCACTCCAAATAGTACGAGGTCATCTGCAAAAAATAAGTGAGACAGATTTGGCCCTCTGCTGGTCAACTTTATTGGCTGACAAGGCCTTCTCTCACCGAATCATTGATTAGATGACTTAAACGTTCCATACAAAACATAAAAATATAAGGGGATAGCGGACATCCCTGTTTGAGTCACCTCGAGGGACTAAAAGGGTTGGTAAGGCCTCCGTTCCACTGAATCTGCATAGAAGCAGTAGTAATGCAAGCCATCATAGCCTCAACGAAACTAGCTAGCGTGCCCACTGCCTTTAGTGTATCCCGAACAAACTCCCACCGAATGCGATCATAAGCCTTGGCTAAATCAATCTTCCATACTATTCATCCCACCCTTCCCTTCTTTGCCCGCATCGAGTGGACCACCTCCTGGAGGACACATATGTTATCTGTAATATGTCGACCCAGTACAAAGCTTGTCTGCATTTCATGGACAAGGTTCAGCATAAGATGCTTAAGGCGATCCGCTAGACATTTAGTCATGTCCTTGTACACGACGTTACAGAGGCTAATCGGTCTGAACTGGTCTATCATGGATGGCACTTTTACTTTCGGAATGAGCACAAGAATGGTGGATTTCACTTCTTTGATCTTCTGAGGCTCCACCCAATAGTCTCTATTGAACTTCACCACTGACTCTCCCACTGTCGACCAACATCGATGAAAGAAGAGAGGGTTGAGGTCGTCTTTACCCGGAGCTTTTCGCCCTCCCATCCCTCTCACAGCTAGGTGGATTTCCTCCGGGTTTGGAAGCAAAGCCTTGCCCATCTACTCTCCTCAATGGCCGGGAAACCCATGGGTAGTGTGCGGGTCTCCCCCATATCATCAGTGTAGAGGACAATGTAAAAGGAACTGGCCATTTGTTGCAGCTCGGCTGGAGACTCAACCCAATCTCCATTCTGATTCTTCAGTGCCAGGATCCTATTCCGTTTGCTCTGTTGCATCGTACGGGAGTGAAAGTAAAAGGTATTCCGATCTCCCCATGCAGTCCAATCCAGTCTTGACCTCTGACACCAACGTAGCTCTTTCTGGAAAAGAACCATTTCGAACTCCTCTCGCGCGTGGTCCAGCTGTTGTGATAGATCCTGCCTGCCGTCTCGTAGCTCAAGTCTCTCAATATTCCTAAGCAGGGCATCCTTCCTCCTTTGTATATGCCCGAACACGTGAAAATTCCAATAAGTTGCGTCTCTGGCAAAGGCTTCAGCCAACTGAGCGAACTCCTCTCCCTTAACCCAGGCTTCTTGCATCATAGGCTGGAATTCATCGTGAGTTAGCCAAGAAGCAAGAAAACGGAAAGGTTTAGGGCCCGCCAGTTGAGAAGGTGACTCAGTCTGTATAAGAATAGGGTGATGGTCAGACTTGACTCGCGGGAGGTGCTTTACAGACGCCTCCGGGTGTGTTGTCAGCCACAAATTGTTCACTAGGGCTCTATCAAGTCGCATAACCAGGTGTAAGGAGGTTCCGTGAACCCCAGATTGGCAAGCCTTGCGTCATGCACACAGTCAGGAAAGTCCCAAATCCGACTCTCATCAGAAGTTGCACCACCTAGCTTCTCAGACGGGTGGAGGATGGATTTGAAATCGCCGGTAATCATCCACGGTTGATCCTAGTCAGCTACCAGAACTCTAAGGCTCGTCCACAAAGACCTCCTTGTCATAGGGGGCGGACTGGCATAAACCGCTGTCAACTGCCACTCTTGCCCTGGTGCACTCAGGTTGGTTACCTGCGTATGAATGAATTGGGAGTTAGCATCAATTTGGGTAATAGTTAGGTTAGTAGAATTCCATAAGAGCCAAATGCCCCCAGAGAATCCTACTGACTTGACTACTAGCTTACTATCAAATCCCATATCATTTATAACATCTCTTGAAGTGTCACCACTAATTCGTGGCTCCACAATAATCACAACATAAGGACGATGCTTTCGCTTGTACTCATTAAAAACTCTTAAGAACTTCTTACTTCATGCACCCCGACAATTCCAAGTGAATATATTGTAATGCATTAAAGAGAAGTTTAAGAAAGACTCCCTCAAGGCTATCTCAGGATGTGGCAGTGCCCCAATCCATATCCTCGCGGTTCTCTTTTGCTGCATAGGTCCCGACACTAGTCTCCTATAAGCTTGGCGGTATTTTTGGAGGACGACCTAGTGCTGACGAACATAGGGTCTCGTTGTTATCATCCCTATGAGGGCATGAGATCGTCGGACTTGGAGCATGAATTTGTCCACCCGTATCCACATGGGTGACCCCAGCTGGCTGGCTATGACAATCCACTTGGGATCCGTTCACAGAATGTAACCCGCCACCAGAGGCTGGGATCGCCTTCACTGCCACAGAGGGAATAGAGCTTCATTGCCCCTTTTTCACCTGCCGGGGTGGTACTTTTTTATTCTTTCATGTGCTTTTGGTGTTCGTCTTGTCCTTGGTAGACTGGCGCACGTCTTTCTGCTTCCCTTTTGCCTCCTTTGTACGTTGGATGTTGGCTATCGAAACCTGGGATGGTTCCCCGGGCTGCTTAGAGGAATCATTTTCTTCAATCTCCATGCTTCCTCATCCTCTAACACCTCAAACCAAGATCCTTTCCGTCTCTCTTTTGTCACCTGGGAGTGCTCACATCCCTTTTCGAGGATCGAGTATTATTTTCAGGTTGTGTTGTTCGCGCTCGGCGCTTGGCAATTATCCATTCACCGTATACCTTCTCGGGCTCATTCTCTTTTGTCGGTTCTGGTGCTAAATTTTTATCTCGCTCTCCGCTGTCCATTGGAGCCGAGCAAGGGCTTCCTGATCTTTCAAAGTATTTCCCACACTTCAAGCAAATCTTCTCTAAGCCCTCATAATGGATAAAATATTTAATTATGTGTATCCTAAACTGAGAAAGGAGAGGCTTCGTAAGGTCAACCCGAACACACACTCTCGCATAGTCCAGTCGGGCGCTGGAGTTGGTTGCCTAATAAACACACAGTGGTTTGCCAATACTACTCCTGATCCTCATGACCACATCTGTGTGAAAGTACTATGCTGGAATATCCAGCAGCCTTGCCCAAACAAGAGTGGACAATATTTAGTGATTGTATAGGTTGAATCCCTTGTCCCACATATGGACTGTCAGATAATGGTCACCCACCATCCATGGCCCACCCGTGATTGCTCGCTCATAATCAATTCCACTCGTGAAGCGCACAAGAAAGTATCCATTCTTGGACGACGCAACTTGAATAGTCCCAGCCTTCGCCCAAATAGCATTGAGCCTTCGAGAAACCACAGTGTAGGATGAGGGCCTACCAAGCACTTTCACGACCAGGGCTGATCGCAGCTCCCGACGATACCTATGTTCCTCCGCCACCGAGAACTTTATTGTAGGGCAGACTGGGTCATACTCTCCCTCTTCATCTACTTCTATTCCATCTTCTCTTATCCCTACCGCTACATCCTCTGAATTGGAGTCCGCAATATACCAGGCGTCCGGTCGTAGGAGGTCACTAAATAGCGTCTCACCTTATGTTACCCAATTCGTGGGTTTGGTGCCCACGCTCCCGAATTAGAGCGGCAAACCGCGGATCAGAAAAAGAGCGCCCATAATTCGCGAATTCTTTTTCCCGAGAGCGCGAATTATTTATGGAAGAGCACGACTTTGGTTGAAACAATCAAATTCGTATGCTTTCATGGGTAGACTACATCTAGAGATAGAAGAATAATTGCAGAAAAATGCTGATCTTGGAGCTTATTAGTTGAGCGATACAGAGAGTAGAGGCAGAGTATACAAAGAAAATGTTGGGCTTTTCATGAAGAGCGAGAGCAGCAGCAAAAAAAAAGACGAATCAGTTCACAAAAGTAAAATAGGGTTTCCTTCTGTAGAAGAGGAAATGGAACTCTTAGGATAGCAAGATCTGTTTGTTTGGGCTACTATCAATCATCTTTGTTTTTAGAGAGAGAGAGAGAGGCGATGGAGAGCTTCTTGTGGTTCTGCATGCGTTTCTGAATAGCAGATCTTGCAATTGATTGGAGATCTCCGATCGGCAAAAAGAAAGAAGGTGAGCGAAGAGGGCTTATCGTCATTATCTTCATATAGACTTCCTAAATAATTTCTTACCTTCCCCATCAGTGATTGCTTGATTGGATTAAAGAGATGCTCTTGTCACTTTTGTCCCAGAAGAGGAAGGAAGGCAATAAAGGGGGGGTGGGGGGGGGGGGGGGGCAGAAGTGGTCCAGAAAATTGTGGGTTGAGGAAGATGTGAAGAGACGTTTATTTAGTTTGTGGGACTGATTTTATATTATAATAATAATTTTATAATTATTCCGATTTTTATTGGTGAGTATAAAGTAGATATGTTTATTGAATTGGTAGTTGTTCGGTTGTTCTTCACAAACTGCAATTAAATTGGTAATGGTGTATAATAGAGCAAGTAATATTTTCATGCAATTATTCACATCCCGTAAATTTTATTTTGTAAGATTAAGTTGTGATAATATTGCTCATTGTATTTAATACAATGAAAATAATAATTAATTAAAAGAATAAAATATTGACGCTCTGTTCACGCTTTCAATATTGAATTCTTTAAAAGTTAACGCTCTGACGCTCTCGCTCCCGCTCCACGCTCTGGTTACCTAAGTCTCGTCGCTCCTGTTCCCGAAGACCATGCTGTCAGCTTAGGATTACTCTAGCTGGAGGGCTTCTCACCCATCGGCACGTCCTCAGGCATAACTTCCGTATCGCTATCAACCTCATCCACTGGTAGCGTAGGCTTGACTCTCTTCTTACTTTGTTGGGCTTCACGATCTCCTTTAGGGTTCGGGGAGGACGACGATGAAGGAGGGCAGCGTTGTCCCGCAATGGATTCAGTTTGCATGGAGCACGAAGTGCCCCCACCAGCGAGTGGCATGGCCACCGCCGACATCCGGCTGGAACAAAAACCCTAGGTGTTGAAGCTCTCTCCGCCGACTTCCTATTTTTGCGGATATGTGGTTATTCGTTTTCCGGAAGTGTCGGTCGTGCTGTAGCTTTTGCATTAGCAGTTTGTGGCTGGAGTTTTTTTAGAGAAGCACTTAAATGAAAAAGGGTAATGTCTATTTTCTATCCCAATCTTATTCCGATTCTTTTATATTATCCAAACCAATTGAGTGTTTGGCTGAAAAAACTAGTAGAAGTACTTTTTAACAGGGTAAAATGCAAGGTTGATCATCGAGATTACTCAAAACGTTCATGTTTGGTCACTCGAAATATTTAATTCCATTAATGGTCACTAAGATTAGTTAAACAGTTCAAGTTTGGTCACTCTCCGTTACCTTCCGTTAGTATCCGTTAACGACCTCAGTTTTTTGATGACATGGCTAACAGAACTGACAAATCAGCCAAATTTAACAGGCCACATCATAAACATGACCTGACACGTCAATAACCCTAACCTATAACCTTACCCTTTCTTTTTGACCTCCCGATCTAAAAATGCCCCAATCGACTCGTTTCTTCTAAAACCTAATCAACTTTTGATCAAAAATCCATTGCTGGTGATTTATGTGTCGCGGATTGCTCATCCACCGGGTTTGACTACCCCGCCTATCGTCGATATCTGGTTTCGGTGGCAACTGACAACGCAAGCTGACCATAGCCCCGCCCACATTTGTAGACTAACTTGGTGAACAGCTGCTTTTATATATTGAGTGGATTTTTATATATTACGAGTGTAGGGATACAGGGGATGAAATTGCTAAGGGGAATAGTTGGGTAATTCACTTGAGATGGAGATGGAGCACTAGAGGGAGGACGCAAGTTTGGCCGCCTTGGACGGGCTTCCCGGCAAGGCACTAGCAAACCTTTCTCTGTTTCTCATAATATATAAAAGCAAATGACAGTGTCAACACTCGTGCAAAACAAATGAAAAATATTTCAAAAATAATAAAACAAAACTAGGGAAATTTGGTGCCTAAAAATCATATTAACAAACTAAAACAACAAACTGAAATAGAGGATGACTAACCAACCCATAATCATACTACAAGTAACGAAATGAGTTTGGTATAAATTGTCAAATAGTTTTAGAATAATGTGCTTGGTCTAAATTGTCAAATAGTGTGCTTATATAATTAAGTGGCATTTTTGCGGTTGAGGGACAAATATGGTGATACCGAACAATTTGGAGGGATAAATATACATACTAGCTTATTTTTTGGTACTCACCGATATCTTCATTATATATTGATCTCAATAATTTTTTTTGGAATGCAAATTCCATTATCTCTACTACCAAATAGCACTTTTTTTTATAATATGATATGATCCTAATTGGACAACTCTACACGTTTTTATTACTTGACAAAGAAGCTATCGAAGTTGGGAAGAAGAAAGGCAGAATTTGGCTAAGTCAAAATCCGTGTTCAGGGTACATACTTTGGAGGCATGGTTCTCTCAATTGGCTTAGTGGAAATTCAATGTTAAGAGTTTATATTGCAGATAAAGTTTCCATCTTTCAAATGGTATGCTTTGTGAATCCAGATGATGTCATTAAGGTTGTTTTCCAAGGCCTCAAAGTTGCTACCTCAAAACTGGAAAACTGCCAGAATTTGGTTAAGGCAAAAACTGTGTTCAAGAAGCCTACTTTGGAGCTCCATTCCAGAAGCATGGATGAGATTCGAGTCCAGAGGCTTATACCACATGAGAGTAGGTATGTTCTACTACAAAGACATGGCATTGGATGATTGGAAGCTTACCTGGAAGGCTTTGATCGAGAGGCTCAAAGATGGCATCAAAGCTGTTTGGTTACTTGGAGCTAAAGGCAGATTTCTTTTTCTTGTTTAGTTAGGATTTCACTGTTTTGGTAGGTTTTTTAATTCCTTTTCGTGTTAGACTGTAATTAGGAGTTTATGGGACGTGTGTAACCTAGCTAGGACTATTTAAGCTTTCTATTTCGTTGTAAAACTAAGACTTTGATTAATCGAAATTGAGAACCGTTTGGTTTGTGCAAGTTGCGACTTGTTTTGGGTTTGGTGGATTCCAAACTTGCTGAGCTTGTGTATCGATTGAATAGTCACTTCAATCGTGGTCGAGCAACTACCCTTTTATACCAATCGAGCTATCCCCAGGTGTGGATTTGTCCTTTTGGTTCCGTTTTATCACAAGTTCGTATTAAGAACGCTTCGTTCTTGATTCGAGCTCAATCGATTCTTCGATTGAGTCGTTTGCTGCGTTACTTTGATAACATACACCCCCCCCCAGGGGCGTATCAAGTGGTATCAGAGCCTGGTTCTACACAAGGGCGAGGAAGAAGACGTGTGTTGTTTCGTACGAGTTCCGGACTCGTCGCAAAACAGAGAAGACCAGTTCTGTTTTGTTTTATTTTTATTCGTTGGCGTCCAATTCAAAGAGAAAATCATGGGAACTCAACAAATCAACGAAGAGGAATTGAAAAAGATGGTGATCGAAGCCATTAAAGCGACTTTCCAGCCTAAATTTGACAGAATTCAACGTCGAATTGATGAGCTGAAGTTGCGGACAAACAACATCGTGTCACCGCAACTCTCCGCGGTGCATAATCCGAATTCAGTGATGAACTGTGATAATTGCGTTCCAACGAGAACCAATAAGGCCCTGGACGTGAAAGATAGGAGCTTGGAGCTGATCTGGGTAGCGGAGAGAGGGCATTCGAGTGGGTCGAAGGTGGAGAAAGAAGCAGGAGCCAGCCGACTCTGTTCTTCTCCGATAAAACAGAGTGTGTATTATGTCGACGGCGTCGTGGCACTTGCAAGAGATTCGACGCAAGAAATTACTTCAGAAGTCTACCCAGAGGTGGAAGGAATGACTAAAAGTCAACAGGAAGTGCCTGAACAGACTGTAGGCGATCGCATTCCTCCATTGACAGGAACTCAGAAGCTCTGCCAGTTTTTGGCTGAACAGAGTTCCGAAATTGATGATATCGTCGTGCTGTATGGGGATGATTCAAAGCAAGAGGTCTTCATCAACACATTCAATGAAGACCCAGGAATGTTTAAGGTTGATAAAATCCATCCAGAACGAGCCCGAATGAAGAATCACGAGGTTGGTTGTTTGCCTCTGACGGTGCCGCAGTTTGACTCCAAAACTGGGTATCTCGTCGGAGAGTTGGAGAGAGATTCGATCCAATCCAATGATGCGGGGAAGTTCCTAGATGATCATCGAACGCGTACGGATGCTCAATTCATCTCAAAGATTTCTCAGTTCAGAATCCCCAATTTGGAATCGGATGAACTGGGTTCGGCACAATTTGAAAACGCCAACAGTTGGAAAATTGCAGTAGACGATTCGTCACTTCCCAGGGGTATTCGAAGCGCAAAGATGGATGGGAAGTTCGATTCTGTGATGGAGAAAGCTCCCGCGAGCCGTGAATTGAGGAATGGCAGCCTCGATTGTCCGAATTCATATTCTGGGCAAGGGTCGCTGTTCGCCGCAAAGTTGCGACATTCTGGGAAATTGCCAGATCACTTGGCGGAGCTGGTTCTTGTCAACAAAGGCCAGATATTCCTTTCTGATGACGAGGAGACAGTGTGGGTTGAGGAAAGCGCCATCGAATGGGGCATGATGTGTAGAGAAGCTGCCATAGCTATGCCGAAAATTGTGTTTGAGCAGCCCACTTTCGATCATCAATTCTGTGAAGCTTTTGACAAAAAGAATGATCAAGCTTTGAGGGCAAAGCTTTTTGAAGAGGGGGAGCCCACTTGATACGCCCCTGGGGGGGGTGTATGTTATCAAAGTAACGCAGCAAACGACTCAATCGAAGAATCGATTGAGCTCGAATCAAGAACGAAGCGTTCTTAATACGAACTTGGGATAAAACGGAACCAAAAGGACAAATCCACACCTGGGGATAGCTCGATTGGTATAAAAGGGTAGTTGCTCGACCACGATTGAAGTGACTATTCAATCGATACACAAGCTCAGCAAGTTTGGAATCCACCAAACCCAAAACAAGTCGCAACTTGCACAAACCAAACGGTTCTCAATTTCGATTAATCAAAGTCTTAGTTTTACAACGAAATAGAAAGCTTAAATAGTCCTAGCTAGGTTACACACGTCCCATAAACTCCTAATTACAGTCTAACACGAAAAGGAATTAAAAAACCTACCAAAACAGTGAAATCCTAACTAAACAAGAAAAAGAAATCTGCCTTTAGCTCCAAGTAACCAAACAGCTTTGATGCCAACTTTGAGCCTCTCGATCAAAGCCTTCCAGGTAAGCTTCCAATCATCCAATGCCATGTCTTTGTAGTAGAACATACCTACTCTCATGTGGTATAAGCCTCTGGACTCGAATCTCATCCATGCTTCTGGAATGGAGCTCCAAAGTAGGCTTCTTGAACACAGTTTTTGCCTTAACCAAATTCTGGCAGTTTTCCAGTTTTGAGGTAGCAACTTTGAGGCCTTGGAAAACAACCTTAATGACATCATCTGGATCCACAAAGCATACCATTTGAAAGATGGAAACTTTATCTGCAATATAAACTCTTAACATTGAATTTCCACTAAGCCAATTGAGAGAACCATGCCTCCAAAGTATGTACCCTGAACACGGATTTTGACTTAGCCAAATTCTGCCCTTCTTCTTCCCAACTTCGATAGCTTCTTTGTCAAGTAATAAAAACGTGTAGAGTTGTCCAATTAGGATCATATCATAATACCATATAGCACTTGAATTCCATCCCAATCCCGTGAAATAATGCATGTATTCGATAATACCAAATATAAAAAAATTCGATGTAGTATTCGGTAAATGCCAAATACTGGTACCAAACTTTCAACACGTGGCAGTGTACTCTAAACTTATGAAAAAAAAAACACTTTGAACAGAAAATCCAGGTCAACTTGCACTCTTGCACCTCCACCTCGTTGAGGCACCCATATGCCTTGTCTTTGCTTTTACCAAACAAGGACTTGTCTTTTGGCCAATAATGATATGGAGAAGTAAACAAAGCGATTGACTTGTGAAGTTTATAAATGTAGGAATTGTTGATAATTTAAATGCAAATATACAACTATTATATTAACAAATACCTCTTTTATCATATAATATTTTCTATATAAAAAGTGTATTAAGCACAACACGAAAATATTTTTGGTAGAAAGATGGGTGCTAAAAGGAAACCCCTGTGTCTGGCATGTTAAATTAATCGGGATTGGGAAATACCCATAGTATCATATAGAACCCAATACGAAAGGCCCGAATCATGAATATTAAAATGGTAAATGTCTATACTACTCTCGTGACCTCGGTTGGTGAGGAAATCAGCCGTCTTATTGCATTCTCTGTGAATGTGAGAGATTTTCACCTTTTGACTTATGAGCGTCTTGAACTGCTAGTATCGTTGATCTTCGTAATCAATAGACGTAAGGATATGCATTGTTGCTACGGAGTCCAGACCAACAAAGATCTTCCTATGACCATAGTATCATATAGAACCCAATACGAAAGGCCCGAATCATGAATATTAGAATGGTAAATGCCTATAATACTCTCGTGACCTCGGTTGCCGAGGAAATCAGCCATCTTATTGCATTCTCTGTCAATGTGAGAGATTTTCACCTCCTAGTTTTGACTTATGAGCGTCTTGAACTGCTAGTATCGTTGATCTTCGTAATCAGTAGACGTAAGGATATGCAATGTCGCTATGGAGTCCAGACCAATAATGATCTCCCTATGACCATGTTCCATGCGATGACTCCCTTGATTTCAGATCGAGTAATCGTGCAAGTACCGAGCTGCCCACTGAACGCTGCTTTACATCTCCCAAAATTGTCCCGGATAAGACCACCTATAGCTGCAACGGATCCCGGATTGCGTACCAACCCGTTCATTTGGAGACTGACCCATCCTGTCACCGATGGTTGCCACGCTAGCAAGTTTTTCTCTCTGGTCCGAGACGCTTCCTTTGTTGATCTGTCGCATTCATGAGCTTGGATGATGGTAGCCGTCTACCTCTTAATACGTTGGGTAAGTACAGAGGTGTCATAAGGCTTATATTGAAAGATAAAACTCATTTCTTTGCTTCCACATATACCAAGTTGCTATGCCAAATAACAGCACTTTCTCCGCTGCTCGTAGGTTCTTTTCCATCCAATATGCAAAAAGGAATAGCCACTGTAAGTTGATGATCAACAAAACTGAGCCCTTGCCATATTTTTTTGCACTTTGTACAGTGTCGAATCATATGTTTAGCTGACTCTAGACTCGACTTGCATAGCTGACAGGTATCATCCGAAGTTAATTTCCTTTTTTCCGATCTGTATTGGTCAACAGTCTATCGTGAATGGCCACTCACAGGAAATGTTTAATCTGATTTGGCCCACTCGAGATTCCATTCCAATTTGGCTTAGTCATTGGTTACTAATCTTCGTATTTGAACTAATCCACTGCCCTTTATACGCCAATCGAAGCCTAAATCACCCATCTTCTTCCAATTCTCAAGTAGTAAGAGCATCTCCTAGCTCCAAGTCTGGTGGGTTAGTACCTGCAAAGAGAGAAATCAGTGGTGAGGGAGATGTGGCATTGAAAGCTATAAACAAAGTCTCAATTATAGATTGGTGGATAGAGCCTTGCAAAAGGTATATAAGAATAGTTTTTCTCTTAAAGGACATAAGCCCCTTGGGGTGACCCACTTTTGTGGGGGAGGGATGACCTATAGGACCTCCATACCACAGACAAACGCGCTTCGTCCGCCCGACCAGTCGAGCGAGCGAGTGTAGGGGTGAAAAACGGTGCGGTTGCGGTTAACCGCACCAAATAACACGGTTAACTGCAACTGCATAATTGCCAACTGGAAAGTGTTGGTCTCCCATTGCTAGATTGGAGGGTGGTCATGGTCTGGTCAATGGTGGTTTCCTGTCGCTGTAACTAGAGGGACGAGGTTTGTTGACGCCGAGTGTGCTGAAAGCCTACTGGTCACCTGGCACTGCCTCGTGGGAGTGGTGGGACACCAAATTGCCGGACCTAGGGCTTTGCTCCTCGTGCTCTGCTGAAAGCCTCCTCCTGCTGCTCGTCGCCTCATCATTAGCTCATGATCGACGATCACGGCAGGACGAAAGTGAGACTTGAGGGGAAGAGTTTTGGAGTTTAGGTGGATGAAGGAAGGACCGAAGGAACCCTAATTGGGAATCGAATTGGTTGCCTTTACTAATTTTCTTCAACAGATGGATGGATTGGATTTGGGAGGGTCAATATTCTACTTGGACTTGGATACTAATGGGCTCTAGGCACTAGCAAAAGGTGGGTTGACCTAACCTACGGTCAGTTTGTTGGTTATGGTGTTATTCGATGTGGTTAGCAGTTAGTCTACAAATTGTAAAGTATACAATTTTGCTAAACCTCGACCACATAGGATAACGAGCACGGAGCCCGGCAAGCGGGCAAGTGCATAGTAGGCCAAGAGCCCAGTGAACCGGGCGAGGCACTCGACAAAAGGGGGGCACACTGAGCAAGCTCCTATCTAGAGCCAGGGCGCTCATTTCGTCGCAGGACGGGCTCGGGGCCCATGTACGCATGCGGCTCACGCCATTCCAGGTGGCCCAGTCCAACATTCAAATCTTGGTAAGGATATGACGTTTTTTTCTTTCTTTCTGCCCTATCTTTCTTTTTTTTGGGAGGGGGGGGGGGAGAACAACTTGAAGAAATGACCTTAAATCTTTGCGTATTGACCCCAAATCGAATTGTTTGGGATTCAGAAGTGAAAGAAATCATTTTATCTACTAATAGTGGACAAATTGGAATCCTATGGACGACGACATGGTATCTCTAGATCCTATTGAATTTCATTCGGAGGAGGAACCTTATAAAGATTGTATTGATTCTTATCAACGAAAGACAGGATTAACTGAAGCTGTTCAAACGGGTACAGGTAAACTAAACGACATTCTTGTAGCAATTGGAGTTATGGATTTTCAATTTATGGGGGGGGGGGGGGGGGGGGGGGGTAATATAAGTATACCATTTGAGGTGGTATTCAAATTTTCATCTTAACCCCCATTTTCATTTTCTTAACCTTAAGCCCCCTCCTAAAAAAGGCTTTTAATCCATCTCTTCAATTACTTTTGTCTAGTATCTCAAAACATACATTAGCCAAATGTAAATTAGGACTCAGGGCCGTCCCATGATATTTGGAGGCCCTGTTCGAAAATTTAAAATGTGGCCCTCATTTTTTTCCCCCATAAATTTATCAAAATTAAAAATTAGTAAATAATTGTAAAAAAAATACTTAAGTTCAGAAAAAGATTACATCAGGATTAAACGATCTTGTTTCCAGTTTGACCAAGAAACCAAGACCGAATTCCCAGCCCTAGTAGGGAGAAAAGTAAATCCTGAAGGAAGAGAAAATGGATATAACGCAAAAATTGAATGGAGAAATGAAAATAGTCTAAATTGATCGAGAGGTGGGTGTAGGGTTGTCTATAAGATCGTGGAGGCCCTATTTCAAAATCTAGACGTGGTCCAAATCGACCTTTAACTATAATAAAACTAAAATGATTATAATAACATTATTCAAAATGTAATATCTTTCTATATTGTTTAAATTAAAATTATCTATTATTTTTCAGATTTTCGTATTCTCCATGAGATCCTTTTCAATTGTTTTTATAGCTAGAATTATATATTAAACACATCATCATACTCATAATCAATCAATCATACACTAAAAATACAACCTACAATATACGATCGGTAACTAACGAATCTAAGTAGAGGCCCCTAATATTCTGAGGCCCTGTGCCGGAGGGCGGGCTAGCACACCCTCTTGGCCGGCCCTGTTAGGACTTACTCTTTACTATATGTTAATACTAAATTGGGCTTACTCGCTTGGCAAGAAGTACTTCCGGTCGATAGAAAGCACTCCTTGAAGGAGAGTAGTACGGCCGTTCTCCAGTAGTTGAAAGGTTCCTCGATAGAGATAGCAGGGAGTCCGGTTTGATCTAGTCCATGGCGAGAATGTTGACATCGGTAAAATCCGGACTGATCCCACTTGAAATAACAGCCCGTGCAAGCAAATATTGGACTGACGGTTTAGTTATCTTCTCTTCTGTTAGCATGAACATGAGATGACTGGACAAGAGAGAATAAAGATCTCCTCGAGAGAAGACTTCGAACAACGTCCATAGAGTCTCTGCACCTATCTTGTTTTATTCTATCTTTAGGAATTTTTTTTCGGAAAACAGGATTTGGCTCAGGATTGCCCCTTTGTTAATTCCAGGGTTTCTTTGAATTTGAAAGGTATCACTTACTCGAAATCTCACTTATCATATTCCATTGTGGAAGACGCAATTTTTTCTGAAGAATTTGCCATGATATATCTCATTCATGCATAATATAATGAAAAATGGATACAAGAGATAGTCGCACGTAATGACAGATCACAGCCATATTATTAAAAGTTTGTGGTAAGAAGGGGTTTCGTTCTAGTTCCCGAAAATAATATTCCAAAGCTTTTGTGTGTTCTCCATTACTTGTGTGAAACCGAGCCTTGAAAGCGTTCGTCGTATGGCTGACCGCCGATTACTAGCGATTCCGGCTTCATGTCATGAGCTGTCCCGTAATAAAACCTGTTGTTGCTGATACCTTCTTCTCGGTTCCTTCTTCTCCTTCTTCTATAACCCGAGCTCGGAGAAGGAAGTGCGCAAAGCGAAGGGGAAAGCCCAGACCAGAACCACTATGCTTCAGGGTCCTCACTCATCACATCCTGGGGTTGAAGAAGGTCCCAAGGGTTCAGTTGTTCGCCGATTCAACCCTCGAAAAAGTTCGGGATGCCGCTTACCATAGACTCATCCCACCAATCAAACTAACCATGAAGGAAGCTTTGAACATTGTATCTCTTGTTGGGCACTATTTGACAGGTGCATTGCCATAAATTGAAGTTCCACCAATAAAGAGTGCTTTGACGGCCTCTGCTTGCCCGTCCGCCTCCTGCTTGCTTAAGCAGGCAGGTCTCATAGTAAAGAGAGCTCCAACAAGCTTCGCCTCTGGCTTGCCCGTCCACCTCCTACTTGAGGTCTCGTAGTAAAGACCCTTGAAAACCGAGCCTTAAGCAAGTAGGAGGTGGACGGGCAAGTAGGAGGCGGAGCTTGTCTGTGCTTGTAAGACTCTATCTCAACACCTAACCTTTGTGCTTTAACCCTCTACCTCTGCGCTTTTCCTACCCTCAGTGCTTTAAGACTCTACCTCTGTGTTTTTCCTACCCTAATAGGTAGTTTACAACATTTTCTTATCTGGCTTCCTAGTCGTTCATGCATCACACCCGTGATGCACTCACTCCCTGCTCCCTTCGCCTATATCGTAGTAAAAGCTAGAATGCATAATTGGCTTGTAGGAGATAGATAAGAAGGATTGACGCCAAGACGGAGATGCAAGCTTGATGTCTGTCTCTGCCTCACTGTAAGGCTTTCAGGGTGAGATGCCATTTCTAGTGGCATGTCCTGTGAGTCGAGGTAAGGAGCTAGTCAGGGCATTCAAACGTCGGATTAGTCTAACTCGGTCAATGCATGGATTAATGTATGAGTTCTTTCCTTCTCGATAGCGGGTGTTTGCCTCAGTAGTGGTTAATTCTACTGCTGAAGCGAATGTTTGACATAGCACTTGTTCTAAAAACACCGTAACAATCCCAACTCTGAGAGGAAGCCAACATTGACTGACTTTCATGGTTAAGATTCGACAAAAAAGAAGAAGAACCAACAAGATAAGATCGAGCGGTCCCTGCTCCTCTCTAACTAAGAGGAGAAGCAGAACTTTTTCAAAAGCCTTGTTGTATCATCCTATCAGTCATGGTAACAGATTGAGTCTCTCTCTTTCGGTAGCTGGGTCGACTCTTTGTGATCGAACAACTGAGCAATCTAAAGTTCTTATCCGTACGTGGGATAGACTCTATTCCTCGCCTCCTTGACGCTGGAAAAGTGTTATCAGAGCTCGTTTACCTAGGAGACCAAGCAATTGAATGTGAGGCCTACAGACTGTGGTTTGGTACGGTTTCGGTTTAACTGCAAAACCGCAACCGTTTTCTTATGCCTAAGCGAGTGGTGTGTTGGGTTTTTCGGATTGAGACTATTGGAGAAAAGTTGAATTAATTATCTAATTCCTTTTCTTATACGAAAACGAAACATTGGAGGATAATTAATATCGGATTGCATTTTAATTACTATCATAATTAACATGATTTATTGCCCATGAAGAGGGTTTTCAAAGGGTTTCGACTCCTATAAATAGTCGACTCCCAAACCCTCTAGACACCACGAAATAAAGATCATAAACATATAGACAGTGAGATTTAGAGAACTCCAATTTTACACAAGCCGAGATTAAACAAAGATTGGTTGTTTTATTCTAGAAGATACCGACTGATAGTTTGTTGTACGCATTAGAAGGCATTGTCACAAACTTCTTAAAGAGAATGACCTAATCCGCAGTTCATCCATATTCGATAATCTTAATTTCTTGTTCAGTTTCTAACTTATATTGGTATCAAAATCTATGGGTTCCATGGATTTAGTCCCCAACAAACTCCAAATAAAGAATAAATTTGTGCAAAGTCAATAATGAATTGGATTTGGGATCCAAATTAATTCCCTAAATCAGCAAACGATAGACAAGATGGGGATAGAGGATGATCTGGTAGTTGATGCAGTGGGCTTCTCTGGCGGAATTTGGTTACTATGGAACTCTTCCTACATTTCGATCGAAGAGAAGGATAGATCATCTCAACACTTGCACGTATCGGTGGAACAAGGGACGACCAAGTGGATGTTCACAGCTGTCTACGGCAACCCGGCTCTTATCCAGCGTCGGGGACTATGGACTTCTATGAGGGACATCGCGGAGGATATCGCTGGACCATGGCTGGTGGCGGGGGACTTTAACTCGATCCTCTGTGCTGCTGAGAAATTGGGTGGAGCGCCCTTTGATGCTAGTAGGGTTCGAGACTTTCAAGATTGTGTCCTTGATACAGGGCTGATTGACATGGGATTTTCAGGGCCGCCCTTTACGTGGTTCCATGCAGGGAAAAAAGAGAGGTTGGATCGAGGGATGGCGAATGCTACTTGGCACTCCGCCTTCCCAGAGAGCTCAGTTCAACATCTTCCGAAAATCAAGTCGGATCACCGACCCCTCCTTATTCATACGAATGCATCCTACCAGCCTGCTGGGCCGAAACCCTATCGCTTTCTAGCAGCCTGGCTGATGCATGAAGACTTTAAGGGGATGGCGGAACAGGCCTGGTCCCAAGGGACATATTTGAAAAGCTCGATTGAGGCTTTTACGACAGCAACAAAAGCATGGAATCATCACACGTTTGGACATGTTATTAGAAGAAAGAATTCCCTGCTGGCTAAGATCGAACGCTTGGAGATGGCGGGAGGTGGGGACTCTGATACTCCGCGGCTTAAACAATACCGCCAAGAGCTTGAAGATACCCTCCTACAAGAAGCAATTCTGTGGTGTCAAAAGTCGAGACTAGACTGACTTGCGCATGGAGATAAGAATTCCAAATATTTTCATGCCCGTACAGTCCAACGCAGGAAGAAGAACAGAATTACTATGCTAAAAGACGAGACAGGAGCCTGGGTGGAAGATGAGCAACGCTTACAGGACATGGCCAGGATGTTCTTCCAGCTACTGTACACGGACGAACCGAGCTCTCTCCAAAGCTTGCCGTCTTTGTTCCCAAATGTGACGGAAGAGTTTGGGGAAAGCACATCGGGGACGTTCACGGATGAGGAGGTTCGGAGGGCAGTTATGGGGATGGGTGCCCTGAAGGCGCCAGGCTCGGATGGACTACACCCGTTATTCTTTCAAAAATTTTGGCCTACGGTGGGAGCGGAAGTGATCCAATTTGCACGTGATTGCTGGACTGACCCGACGAAGGTGAAGCTGGTTAACGAGACTATCCTAGTGCTTATTCCTAAAGTTAGTCGGCCATCCCTGATTGAGCAGTATCGACCCATTAGCCTCTGCAACGTAACGTACAAGATTCTGACCAAATGCCTGGCGGAGCGGCTAAAAATGTGGATGCCGAGCCTAGTGGACGAAACACAAACTAGTTTTGTCCCTGGGCGTCACATTACTGACAACGTTTGTATCTTGCAGGAAGTGGTGCACTCTATGAGAGCTAAGACGGGGCGAAAGGGCTGGATATCAAAATTGACCTTGCTAAGGCATACGACCGCATCAAATGGGCGTTTGTGCAGGATACTTTGGAAGCAGCAGGGTTACCGGGCGAGTTTATTGCTCTAGCCATGCAGTGTATTTCATCTTCCAGCATGAGAATCCAGTGGAATGGAGGGCTGACTGACAGTTTCTATCCCTCGAGAGGTCTCCGATAGGGGTGCCCGCTCTCACCGTACTTGTTCACTCTTTGTATGGAGCGTTTGAGCCATCTTGTGAAGGCTGCGGTGAACGCCGGAACGTGGAAAACCATCCGGATCTCGGCTAATGGGCCGGCTCTCTCACACCTATTTTTTGCAGATGATCTGATATTGTTTGGCGAGTCATCAATGCAGCAGGTTTCAACTATTATGCAGTGCTTGGATGATTTTAGTGCAGCCTCGGGACAGCAAGTCAGCAAGCCAAAGTCACGTGTGTTCTTCTCGAAGAACATTACGGATGCTCAAGGGGCGGAAATCTCTGCTGGTTTGGGGATCCCAGAAACGAAGAACCTGGGACGTTATCTTGGTGTCCCGGTTATTCACGACCGGGTCTCAAAAGCAACTTTCATTGATCTTATTGATAGAGTGGATTCCCGCCTTGCAGGTTGAAAGAGCAAGTCTCTCTCTCTAGCCGGACGCATTACTCTCGCTCAAGCAGTACTTTCTTCGCTGCCATCGTACATCATGCAAACTACCTTCCTCCCGACGAACGTGAGGGAGTATATAGACAAGCAAATCAGAGCGTTTATCTGGGGAAGCTCGGAGGGAGGCAGGAAGATACACTTGATCGACTGGGAAACTATTTGCAACCCTAAAGAGGAAGGCGGCCTTGGACTCCGTAATGCTACTAGAATGAATGAAGCTTTCATGCTCAAAATAGCCTGGAGATTGATGGCGGAACCGGAGAGTCTATGGGCCAGCATTGTACGGGCGAAGTATCTACGACGTATGGAAGGGGGATGGCAGCCAAGAACTCCAGGCCGCCTGTCGAACCTGTGGCGGGGTGTCCTTCGGATCCTCCACCTGATCCCGGACGCAATTATGTGGAATATTAAGAGCGGCAGGAGCACTCGGTTCTGGACGGATAGGTGGTTACAAGACGACCCGGTTTTGGCGGACTTGGCGGCCAACCTCCCGCAAGAAGCGCTCTCGCTGACGGTTGCTGATATGGTCCTCAACGGCGATTGGAATATTTCTTATCTTCGTGCTTTTTTGCAGGACGATAGCGTCAGCACTATCCAGCTGCATCCGGTGCCTCATGAAGAAGGGGAGGATGTTGCTGTTTGGCGGTACACCCCGGATGGCTGCTTCTCTTTGAAGACGGTGTATACGTTGACTGACTCACTTCTACTGTCACTCTAGGAATTGGCCAAGTGAAACCACTTCCTAAAGCGTAGTATAGCGGGTTTGGGTTTAATTATCAACCCGGGTCCTAGATCTGATGACTACTCAGTGAATTCTTGTTATCTAGCAATGAAACTTTAATGCAAGTCTAAACTAACAAACTAACAAAGCAAGTAAACGGTTGTATTCAAGTTAAGAGAGGTCACCCGGATATGGTTCCCCCTAGACTGCAGTTAAGCCGGATTGTAATTACCAAGTTCAGTTTCTATGATAGCTATACTGCGGAAGGTTCTTAAACAGCCTGAAGTCTCGACTAAAGGTCTTCAGACCCTCTCAATCTGAGTCTCTAGCGGGGGACTACCTCCACCGAAGTAAACAGATTGAGGCCTTAACAAATAAAACCTCCACTACCGGAGTAAATCCGGTACAGAATAGTGAGTTGGCTCCTCGACTAAAGTCACCAACTCCCTACCTTCAATCAAGGATGCTCTATCAACCTAGGCAGATATTCTCATTCTAGGTCAAAGCAGAAACAACAGGAATTTGATCAGGATTCAAGTCATTCAATCATTCAAACCTCAATCGAATATAATCAAATCATAGAATCAGTACTTGGGTTCATACAATCAAAGCCTAACATACAAATCTAGGGTTCTCCATACCCAGATGAATGGGAGAACTACTCCATGGAGAAAGAAGCAAAAGCAGAATCAGACGCGGAATTCATACTGTGAAGGATGGATTCCTGCTTCTGGACGTTGATCGGCACTTCTCCAAGCTCAAACTGGCCTCCAATGGTGTTGAAGATCAATCTAGGGCGCTTGGAGACTCTTGTTCGTCGCTTTCTCTCTCTAGAGATCACTCTGTCTCTCTAAAACTCGAATCCCCTTCTGTTTGGCTGAAAATCTGCTTAAAAAGGCATCAGTGGCCAAAGCACGGTCGAGGGCACGACCGTGTAATGCCTCAGCCCGCCCGTGCTTTGGCTAGGGTTAATTACACTAGGAGAAACACGGTCGTGCTTTTGGGAGGACACGGCCGTGCTTTGGTGAAGCACGCCCGTGTTCTATCTCAGCCCTGCCTGTGTTTTGGCCAATGTTTGCCAAACTCGAATTAGCTCTTGGCAGTAAAAGCACGGTCTCAGAACACGACCGTGTTATGGTTTAGGTGTGCCCGTGTTTTGGCTCAGCTTCACCGAAATGACTTCCGAATGCCCCGAAACTCGTGCTTAGCCTTCCCTTTTACACATGGGACCTGAAATATGACAAAATAGCACAACCCGGCGTAAAATAGGCCAAAATACACGACTATGCCTCTCAAACGGATAAGAATTAGGGGCGCAAATAAGTGCAATTACATCGTTATCATTGACGGCGGGGGAGGAGAGACCTGCTAGCTCGCATCCCATGTGGAAATCGCTTTGGCGAGTTCCAGCCACGCAGCGGATTCGTGCCTTCTTTTGGCTAGTAGCTCACCAGCGTTTACTTGCCAATTGCGAGAGGCGGAGGAGGCATCTGACGACCGTGGCAAGATGTCAAATTTGTGGCGGAGACGAAGAGACTACGTTGCATGTCATTCGTGACTGCCCTTATGCACGAGCCGCTTGGGCAGATTTCCTTCAAGAGGAGCCGGACGAATCGTTCTTTCAGGATGACTTAAGGAGGTGGATACTTCACTATCTGGCTGGTCGGAGTAGGAGTGTACCGCCGACCCGTTTTGCTGTGATGTGTTGGATGCTTTGGAAGAACAGGAACAAGTTTGTTTTTGAGAAGGAGCTGGACTCGACAAGCTCCTTACCTTGTAGAGTAGTGACCCTGGAGAAGCATATTGAAGAGGCGGCCACAAAGGCAGCGATAGTGTTCAACGGGGAGGCTATCCCGTCCCAACGGATGATTGCTTGGAAACCTCCTCCGGCGGGCTGGTCATGTCTGAACACGGATGGGTCGGTGGTGGGTGGAAATGCAGCAGCGGGCGGGGTTATTCGGCGGGAAGATGGTCGTATGCTGCGTGCGTTCTCCGGCAACTTGGGGGAAGGATCAATCACTAGAGCGGAGCTGGCGAGAATTGCTTTTGGACTTAAAGCAGCGTGGGAGATGGGAATCCGACAGGTTCAGGTCCAGACTGACTCCCATGCAGCGCTACGACTTGTTGAGGGAGCTGGGGAACGACATCCCCACTTGGCTTTGGTCTCCGAAGTGCGAAGACTCTTAGCTCTTGATTGGCAGGTAGAAGTGATTCATGTGTTCCGGGAGGGTAACGTTGTAGCCGACTACTTAGCATCCCTTGGACATGGACGTCCGCCGGGGTTCCACCTTGTCGAGTCTCATTGTCCGATCCTCAACCATTGGCTTTTGTTTGATTGTATGGGAGTTTCCACTCCTCGTTTAGTTCATAATGATTAACGGTTGGGGTGCCCGTTAGCACCCTGTTTCCTACCAAAAAAAAAATTCTAATTTTCAAAATAATTTTTGTTTTGGCGAAATTCCAAATCTCAAAAAGGAAACAAAATCCTAGCTTCTGTAATCACTTAATTAGGCTCTAGCCTCAGGGAGTTGTGGAGTTGTCGTCAGCTTCACAAACATTGTTGTAATGTCGGCTTTCTTCAAGTCGGTTCAACCGAGTACAACCGTTACCAGTCACCAAACTGACTGGAAAGGGGCCGATATTTAGCTTTGGTCAAATCCGAGAATTTCAGATGGTTATACCAGAAACCAAAAGTCATTCTTATACACATAATATCCAACATAAACACTCTTGATAGGATTTGAACCAAGTATCTCATGTTCGTTAATTTCAATTATACATCAACAGACTATTATAATTCATAAACCAGTTGGTCTCAATAACTCGAGTTGTTGGAAGAAGGTTATGTTGGATCTTATACCATACTCTTACATGCCCCCTCAAACGAAAGCCAACTCACGGGTTTGAAGTTTGCGCAGGCCCACCATACCTTGTGATTTTATCTATTGTTAGTATTGGGGGTCGTGGAGATTCGAACATACGATCACTTGATCAAACCAGCTGTGATACCATGTTATTAACGAGTTGATCCCAATAACTCGAGTTGTTGGAAGAAGGTTATGCTGGATCTTATACCACGCTCTTACACAGGCTACAACCAACTTTCTTGTATATATTAACCTTATATATATTATATATCTGATACTATATTTTACACAAATCATTATAAACATTCATAAAATTGGTTTTATATACTTTTATTTTTACGCATCTAATTGTACTATTAGTTAACAATTCTTAGCTATAAATTATTTTGTGTGAAATAATTCTTCTGATTGCTTTTTCATGACTAATTTGTTTGGAATTGAGTACTTCCATTTTTCGCATGTATTTTATTAAAACCAGCATAACCAACATAAATACTGCTTATACCACGATCGACCCATTCCACATAAAAAGCTGACGCACGGTATAAATCGATTTGACAACTTTGTTCACAAATAAAGAGCTCATCAGAAAATAAAGGAGACTGGAATTCTTATATATAAAAGAAATTAATGAATTGTCATAAAGCGGAAACCCACCCTAAACTTCTGTAGCCTTCCGGCCTTCCCATTTTATACGCAGAAAAGGACACAGAACAGTAGCAGTATCAAAAGAAATCGAGCTAGGAAATCAAAAGGTATACCAATTGGTTTGAGCTCTCGATTTCTTGTCTGTGGTTTTCGTATACCACCGTTCTCCATCATATGGATTTCCAACTATACGAGGGGTATTCCGACAACTCCCAACTTTCCAAAGAGAGTTAGACAGCGAAAAGGGAGGCACGAGATTTCCTCTCTTTCCAAGTACTCAAATTGGGTCGTAGTCTCCTTTTTCACATAAGAATTTTGGTTTTGTTCTATTTATGTTTCTGATGCTCCCTTTCTATTTCTTTTCCTGCAAAATTTTAGGGTTTGATGGTCCATGACGAGGAGCCGACCACGATAACCAAGGGTGTCGTGACTGAGGAGGACCGGTAGGTTGAGACCTCCAAGAGTTCCGAGTTGCTGGTTCAGGTGGCGGAGGTAGAGGGGAAAGCTGGAAGCCTGGATAATACAAGAAGGGTATTAAGAGACATGAAAGAGAGAATGCAGCAGGCGAAGGCAAAGAAGGGGAAGTTGGGGAGGGCAGTGATGGAATTGAGGAGGGGGATTGAAAGGCATGAAAGCGAAGTTGGAGGAGGTGAAGAGAGATAAGGGGGAGACGACAAGGAGATGAATGGAAACATAGCGGGTATTGAAGGTATGGAAGTGGAACTGGAGCAGGTGAAGATAGATAAGGGAGAGATGTTGAGCAGAATGCTGGAATTGGAGTTGAGTGCTGGTTGAACTGAGATTATTACGACTGCCCTGAGGAAGATGAGTTGGTCATACATAAAAAGAAAATTGAGGAGTTGGAGAGCAAGTTGAGCAAGAAAGCACAATTGGAGGAGAAATCGAGGCTCACAGAGCAAAGCAATCACGGAAATTGAGTTACAGAATGAGGATCATGTATGCTTGGTAAATTGTCCAGTAACAGAAGTTCAAATGACACACAATCCTTAGTTACGTAAACACACTATAAATAGAAAGGTAAATGGAGAGTTCTGAATTTGTTGTCGGTTTGATTGGAGTCTGCTTAAATGAATTCTATTCTCCCACTGAAAATACTTGTGCAACTCTTTAGTATTAGCATGAACATTCGTTTGATTGCAGCGAAGTAATAGTTTCCTACCATCATGAGATATGAATTTCAATAAATTAAACTTCTAAAATATATGAATTCAAATGCATCATTGCAGGAGTAAGGAGTTCTTATGCATCCATTAATTAACCTTTTCAGTTCATAACAGAGTAGGGGTGACAATTGGATTGGATTCATGGATTGGTGGATTGGATTGGATCAAATGGATTGATGGATTGGATCAAGTGGATTGGTGGATTGATCCATGAATCCAAATGACATCCAAGTCATGGAACAATATGTAAATTTTGAAAAGTTTGAGTACTAAAATGTCATGATAAAAAAATTTAGATACCAAACGTAATTTACCAATGATATTTTTTGTATTAAAAAAATAAATTTGAGTACTAAAATGTAAAATATAAAAATAATAGGTACTAAACTGTAATTTGCCATTTGAATAAAATGGATTGAATTAGTTGAATTTTTTGGTGGATGAATTGGAGTGAATTGGTAGATTGGAGTAAAAACTGTCACTTCTATACCAAAGTGATTACACAAAACCATACCTGGTTGGGATTGATAAAGAACTACACTATGAAAATGATACCTTGTCCGCTATTTATAGCCAAGGCGAGGCATTTTCCTTTTACTTAACACCTAGGTGAAATTAGGTGAGTGCCTAATCGTGTTTTTTTAGAACCATGGAATGAATTGGTCTGGAAATCAATTGGATTGCGGGACCATTTGATTACTTGGCTACTTAGCATTGACCGTATTTGCACTTTGGACAAAGTCAGGAAGTGAAATTTGGAAGTGTTTGGTATGTGTCTGCTGTACTTTCTCCCATGAATGTTATGGCTGTTGTACGTGTTCATTTCACTTCAATTCTCCGTGGGAACGATGCCTGGGAGTCAGCTTTGCGGAAGGCAGTTGATGAGTTTAGTGCCTCAGATTCAAGAATTATATTGGGTAGAATGCTGTGGGAGTTGGCCGTCTTTTGTTAGATGAACATGATTGAACATCATATCTCTACTTGTCTTGCTTCATTCCTTGTAATTGTTAGGAACAGAACAACAACAAGAACGAGGTTATCGAATCTGGAGCTGAGTCGCGGACTAGGTCGCTCTTTTTAAGACGTTCGCGCCACAGTCCTCGATGCCCACGACAGACTATCAACCGCTCGTCTCCAGGATAAAACAGCTCCTCGAATGCTCGGCGGTTTTGTGCGAAAACTAGAGCTCTCTGAACTCTCTCTATTGTGTTTATGTTCGTTGTGTTGTGTTTAGAGGGGCTGGGGAGGCGGCTATTTATAGGAGTCAAACCCCTAGGAATATACCCCCTTGCTTGGGGAATAAGTCGGATTTAATTAAGGAAGACAATTACTTCCTTAATTAGAATCCGTCTGTAAGATAATTCCTGGCGGGATTATCCTTCGAATATTTAATTAACTAATTATTAATTTCGTTCGGAATTTCTCCAAAAAATAAAATTTAGAAAAATATATAGTCTCCAACCAACCGACCGGTCGGTCGGACGGTCAGACGGCGCGCGCGCTTGTGTGTGTGTGGTGGTCCGTTAGGTCATCCCTCTCCCACAAAAGTGGGTCACCCCAAGGGGAATGCCCTTAGGAGAGAGGCTCCTATCTTTATACACATTTCACCAAGTAGTTTTCCACTTGAGACTCTATAGCTTTCAAGGCTATTCATACATTTCCAACAATCCCCCACTTGAATAGTTTTGAAACTATCTCTGAGCATTGACAATTCCATAAGATCGGGCATAAGCTAAGGTATCACGAAAATTTGAACCTTAGCATAGTGGTTAGACTTCCGATTTCATAAGGGTGACTAGTAGTCTTGAACCCTATCTCAGACAGTGTAGCACACCAGATCTTTTCATTGAGTTGTGTTCTATTCTTAGCCCGTGCGTTTATGGCCATGCACGTTATCCTGGTTTAGTGAACGCTCTATCAACTTTGTGCCTCCAAAGTTCCATAGGGAGCGGCCCCACTCCCACATTCACATAGGTGAGTCTATTAGGAGTACCCCCAAAGTAAAGTACTCCACCCCACATAGGGTATATATCTCATTAAGAGTTATTAACTCAACCTCTTTTGCTTTGGGATTCATGCTTCACTATGCATGAACTTTTCGTATACTACTCATAACTTGTTATTACCCATTGAACCCATTTCATGGGATCTCCAGTCTATTGGGTCGGGTTACCGTCACTTGTAATATGTGGTTCGGTAGGCATAAGTCTCATACCCTTGGCGGTATTCTGGACTTTCTCTCTTGGTAATCCTTTCGTCAAAGGATCAGCTAGATTATGTTCGGATCTTATATGATCCACCCTCACTGCTCCTATCGTTAGGAGTTCTCTTACAGTACTGTGCTTACGATGAATCTGTCGTTGCTTTCCGTTATAGAATCGGTTCTCAACTTTAGCGATAGTTGCGTTACTATCACAATGGATCAATACCGGAGGGACCGGCCTTTCCCATAGGGGAATCTCTGACAACAATACTCTCAACCAACTTGCCTCTTCACTAGTCGTTGCTAGTGCTATCATCTCTGATTCCATAGTTGATCAAGCTAGGATTGTTTGTTTCTTTGACTTCCAAGATACAACTCCACCAGCGATGTTAAAAACATACCCGGTGGTTGCCTTGGAGTCATCTGATAGGGTATTCCAATCCGCATCACTATACCCTTCTAGTACAGTAGGAAACCTTTGATAGTGTATACCAAGGTTTGTTGTTCTCTTGAGGTATCTCATGACCCTCTCTATAGCATTCCAATCCTCTCTTGGAGTCATCTGGTAAGGCTTCTACTGTGGAACAGGAACCTGCCTGGCCTGGAATGCCTGCCTCTGCTGAAAACCACCTGCTGGTGCTGGAAAATCAGGTGGTTTAGTGGTGTTGCTATTATTCCAGGAGAAGTTGGGATGATGGCGCCACCCTTCATTATATGTACCACTGTAAGGATCAAGGCGTCGAGCATTGGCGATGAAGTCCAACTATTCCTGGGGTGTAGAAGACTCTCACATGGCCTAGCAGTCTTCCACCAGATGGTTCGAACTCTCACACCACTGACATTGAGCAACTGGAGGCCCGGCTAGTCCCCTGCCCGGAATAAGACTGTTGGGCTACTTCAATGTCTACACCAACTCGGCCACCTTCTGCTCTAGCCCGGACCTAGCCTTCATGGCGTGCACACCTCGGTCCTGGGAACTCATGCTTCTAGTGCTCTGCCCCCAAGAGTGATCCCTAGCATCCAGAGTACTGATAATCTAATTCAGCTCGGGTGGAGTCTTGGTGAGAATATCCCCTCCTGGGCATAGAGACCCGATCACCCTCTGGCTTTCCGGGGTTAGAGCGATGTAGAAATTCCCCACTGTGAATGCATCACTGAAGCAGTGATAGGGACACTGCCAGAAGAATCCCGAGTACTGGTCCAAGGCATCACGCATTGACTCATCTGGCTCCTTGCAGAAATGAGTGATCTCCCGCTGAATCTCCATGGTCTTCGAGGCCGGATAATACTTGTGTACAAATTTGTCGGCCAAGTCGTCCCACTATGTGATGGATAGTGGGGGCTGGGTCTCTAACCACCTCTTCGCATGCCCCGCCAGAGAATGGGGGAAAAGGTGGAGACGGATCGCATCATTGGGTACACCATTCATCTTGAATCCATTTGTCAGCTGCAGGAACCGGGAAAGGTGCACCCTCGCCTCCTCATCCTTCAAGCCATGGAATAGGATAGAGAATGTAATCAGTTGAATCCAGCATGGCTTGATCTCAAAGTTGTTTGCTGGAATGGGCGGATAGAGGATGACGGGGCTGATGTCGGCGATCCGTGGAGTGTAGTAGTACTCCATAGTAGGACCCGACGGAGGTGGTGGATGTTGAGCCCCATCTACCTGGGGAACTGGGTTGTTCCCCAGGATCTGATTCACTAGGGGAACCTGCATGGGCATCCCGAGGGGTTGGTTATGCCCCAAGTTGAGGATCCGCCTATTGTGCCCGTCGCCCATCTCGTATTCCTCTTCTGAGTCGCTGCTCAGATGGCCATCAACGTGCACTTCCTCCGTAGCCTGTCTCGCTCGCTGTTGTCTCTTTAGTTGGCGACATGTGCGTTCTAGCTCCGGATCTAACGGTAGTAAACCTCCCGACTGGCTACGGGTCATGCATTACATGCACACAGCCAAGCAAGCAAACCCGTGAAGGCACAAGCGGGAAAAAGCAAACAATCAATGCCGAAATGGAAATGCTAAAGTAACAGAAATCACGTTTCTTCAACAGCCTAGCCGTCCCCGGCAACGGCGCCAAAAACTTGACACGCCTCTACCGTCACACTAGAAAGTGGCTAAATGCAACCACCTACTAATGCGTAGTATAGTGGGTTCAGTTCTAAATGTCAACCCGGGTCCTAGGTGTGATGACTACTCCGTGAAAATCTTATTATTTAGCGGTCCTAGTGTAGTGAAGGTTTAGTTAAACTAGCAAGCAAAGCAGTGAAAGTTGTGTTCAATTTGAGAGAGGTCACCCAGATATGGTTCCCCCTAGACTGCAGTTAAGCCAGGTTGTAATTCACCAAGTTCAAGTTCAGAGATAGTTATACTTCGGGAGGTTCTTAAACAGTCTGCATTCTTGACAAAAGGTCTCCAGACCCTCTCAATCTGAGTCCCCAGCGGGCGACTAACCTCCACCGGAGTAAAAGGATTGA